AATGAAAGCTGGCAGAAACAAAAGAAGAGTATACATTATTCAAGATTTGAAACAAAACCCAAGTGGAAATCTTGTTCAATTAAATGTAAAAAGAAAATATTCTCATCTATAATACAGCTGAAACTAGGACATGGCTATTTCAAATCTTATATACAAAGATTTGATGATAGATTTGACTCAATAGAATGCTCATTCTGCAATACAAATGAGAATTCTGAGTATATTGTAATACACTGTGCATTATATAATAGTCTCAGAGCCAGATTGAAAGAGAAGTATGATCTAAATCAATTAAATATGAGATTCTTATTCTCAACTGAGACAGGAATTAAATACTTAATAGACTTTCTATCAGAAACTCAAGCAGCTATAAGAAAATGACTAAATTCAGAATTATCTGAGTATGAAGAGGAGGAAATTAATCAGATATAGTCTGTTAAAACAGCTATACACTCTCTTTTAATAATTTGTTTTGTTATAGTCTCTCTTTACTTTATCTTTTTCTTTATCTTTTTCTTTCAATTTCTTTCTATCTATTTATTTAATGTGTCTATTTTTGAGACTGTGTTCTTTTTCTCTTTTCTTTTGTCATGATATTGTCAAATGGTTTCAAAGTATCAAAAGATGTTAAAACACTGTAATTTGTAAACAGTTTTTGTATTCTGAGCTGGAATTTTCTGATTTTGCATATCTGAAATTGATGAATGTATAATAGTTAACTTTACAGACATAGAAAAAACCCTGAGAACTAAAGTTCTCAGGTAGATGTCATAATCTCTGACTACATACATCTATAATTAAAGAATAATAATAATAATAACACTCAGTCTGAAGATACACAGTCACTTCTTTTCCTCAGTCATTCTGATCAGATAAATGTTATTAAACATTTATCTGCAATTCTCAACTGTGTTTAATATCATCACTGTAGTGAAAAGTACTGCATTTGTAAACACTGAGTCACTGATAATCTATATTGCTGATTTCACTTCCTGTATGAATGTCAGACTGACTGTGCTATTCTCAAATCTTTGAATAGTAGATATTATCAGCTGCATCTCTGTTATAATGACTCAATTCTCAATAACTACAATAGATTGATTACAGTTAGCTGACTAGTAAATACTGATATTATTCTCTGCACTGATAGCTATACTGTTCTTGATTATCTGTCTAAGTACATTGTCAAGACTGAAACAGACACAGAATTCTATCATCAGATTGTTCAATGAGTGATTTCAAGAGTCAGTTCAAGTCACTCACTACTCTCTACAGTTATTAAACTTATGAATCAGCTCATTGATAAGTGCAATTGATCTGCTCAGAAGATTTATCATCTTCTTTTAAATCTTTCTTTATAAATAAGTTCTTATGAGTTAATTGCAGTTGATTGTCAGTCTGAATCTTAACATCACTATAGCTATATTCTTGAATCTAATGAATTACAATGTAATTCATTCTTTTTGAAAAAATATAAGCAGTAGTTAACTGAATTTGAAGATCTTTCATTTCTTAAATTTCTTTGAATCTTTTCTCACAGTCATCAAATTAAGAGACATCTCTGTGTAAAATTCTGAGTGTTGATCTACTTTTCTGTTTATCAGTTTGAAACTGATTCAGAGAACTATGCTCATGTCAAACTTCTTCTTCATCACTCTTTTCATCAAATTGAAGATCTCAAGATTGTTGATCTTCTCATCTCTTGACTCTCTTTTACAGAGATCTTTAATTATTGTCATCTTTCTCATAATCACTCAGTTGATGCCTATGGTGAAGACATGCTGAAATCAGAACCTGAGTTTGAAGATGATCAGAATAATGAAGAGAAGCTTGATCTCTCTTAGACATTGCTTATCTGTTAAAACTCACAGTGTGATAATGATGATCTCATTAACATCTGAAACTGTAAACAGCTTGATCATTAGTTCTTAGATTTCAACTATAATTGAAGCTCTTATGTTGACACTTATATCAATCTTGACACAGAATTTTAAAACAATATGAAGACTGACTTTCTCACAGACACTACTCTTTATAAATATAACTTATTCAAGACTCTAGACTCTGATCAATGCCTTCTTCATGACACTATTCTCTATTATTATACTGAGATTCTTAACAGTGAATTCTCAGATTCTTTACTAATTAATCTAGATGATAAAGATAACACTGATAAAACTTATCTGATTATAATTTTATCTATAACTCTTCAAAATCTTGCAGAGGCTCAAGATCTCTTAACCTCAATTATTCAAGTCATGTCAACTGATATAGCTGCTCACTTCATCAACACTCAAACCTTGCATGCATTATTTCAGCTTCTCATACATAAGAACATGCTATATGAACTGCTCAACTCTCAAAATCTTTGATCTTTGCAGGCTCTTTTTAAGAATGTTCACTATCTGTTAATTGATGAAAAGTCAATGATTGATTTATAATAATTAATAACTCTCATGAATTGATCAGATCTGTTGTTATATATTCTCTCATAAGAATGCTCATTTTAATGATCTCAGTGTCATTCTCAGTGAAGATTTCTATCAGCTTTCATCTGTTTTTCAAACTCTGCTCTATCATAACAGATGTATTGATCATAAAGAAGATATTCAGAGCTGTTAAATCTACTTAGCTTTTAGTAAAATCATTCAACTTACTGTGATTTAATAATAAGTGAGTGAAGATGCTATCAGCTGCCAGTTCTGTGAGATCTTGAAAAATCTTTGTCTTGATCAGTTAACTCTGAATGATTGAGAGTTTCTTTCAAAGTATGTGCAGACTCTTATCTCTTATAAAGTCTCAGTCTTTGAGAATGCAATTCACATTTATGCAAAGAAGTGTCATATTCATGTCTATAATAATAATACTATTCAAAGCTGTAAACAACCTGTTATTAATATTCAGATCATAAATATTAATATAGATACTTCTCAGTTAGATTCTGATAAGACTGATAATCTTCATCAGAATCTTTCTCTCTTTATCAGCTACTGAATTATACTTCTATAGAATATTTGAACAGACTGCAGTCTTGTTAACAGTGCTCTTAAGACTCTTTATGATATTGTATGAAGTTCAGATGTGAAGAATTCTCATCAAGATTCTTCATTTATACTGCTAATTAATTTTAACAAATATAACAGCTCTGCTTATTTGAAATGAGAGAGTTTTAAACTTGTGCCTATCTTTCACAGCTGTTATAACTTTTCTCATGTTAATCAAGCCTGCAGCTGTACATAGTTCTCTATTACAGTTGTATATATCTTTACTGTTTATAAATCTCAAGAATTATCACTTGATTGAGCTGTTCTTGATATTTTCAAGACTGAATTCCAGGCTGATCTCACATATATTGTGATTTTATAGATTAAAATATATCAAGATCTTCTATTCAAATAACTCTTTGATTATTTCAGATTTCATCAGCCTGATAATGAAGTAAGCAGAAGCATGCAGATATGTGAGATTGATTATATAAGATATCAAAGTCAACAGATAACTAAGTTATATTTCTTTTCTTTTTATAGGTCTCTACTAATCTATATTCTATATAGCTTCATCTGTTCTTTATTTTATCTTTTTCACAGTTTACATTTAATCTGCTTATTCACTCATTCTTCATTACTGTAAGTTCTTTATTCTCTGTTTTATTATTCTCTTCATCTGTTCTACTTGCAGATTCACTGAATTCAATCATTGAATTTAACAAATCTATTACAGCTGATTCTATTATAATCACTGAATCTGAGAATGAGTAGTTAGTAATCTATAGAAGATATTGAAATAATCTAAATATTAATTTATACAGCTCAGATTTAATATAATAATATCTTTAATCTGAGAGATTAAGAATCTTCTGAGACCTGTGTTATTGAGATCTGTATTACATTATATGATAAGAAATATTGAATTCTTGCAGCTGTTAATACATGTATGAGAGAAAGTGAATGAATCTCAGAGTATTCTCTTTCTCTTTGAAGAATTTATCTTATCTCTCATCTTTTATCTCTATCAGTTGTTTTTTTTTTTTTCAGAAACTATGTCATTTATCTCTATTAATTCATCAGAAGTTCAAAAAATCATTAATACTGTTATTATAACTGAAAATAACATCTTGAAACATGTTCATTGTAAGTAAGATTCTTAAAATGATGAAAATTATAATTTTAACAGTCAGTATAGTTCTCAATAACCTTGTTCAGTCTATTGAGCTATCAGCTGTTAACTTCATTTTCAGTTCTGTATCTGTGTCTGTCTCTGCTGTGTCTGTTGATTCTAGATTATTAAGTTGACTGTTGACTTATTTAACTGAAAGAATGTCTGAGAAGCTGTTAAAGAAGCTACAGACTCTTATTAAATTATTCTATACTTATAAGTCAGTCTTATAAGAGAGTTGTCAGATTAATATAAAAATTAATACAAATTATAAAGCTCTTCTTCTATAATCTTATAGTGTTGTTTTTACAGTTCTCTGCAGTCACTGTGCTAGAGAAGAAGACTCTTTTATCATCTGTATCAGCACTCTGAATTGATGTTATAAAGCTTGTACTAGTTATCATTATAATAACACTGAAAGTTACTGCTCTTATTATAGAAGTAAGTCACTTTTTAATATGAAATATATCAATTTCAATACAATTAACTAATAGTTATACATAGTCAATGTCAGTATGTTTTTACAGTTCTATTCCTTCTATTATTATTAAAAAATGAATCTCTATATGTTTTTACAGTTCTATCCCTTCTATTATTATTAATAATAAGCTGTAAAATCAATCTTGCAGGGCCTTCTGTTTTGAGCTTAGCTCTGCAATGTCTTTGCACACAGAGGCTCGTGTGCATTAAGATATTTTTAGTTACTGTAACTATATGGTTTAGTCAGTCTTGGCTTTAAGAGAATGAGCTCCACAGATCTCTCGACCCCTTTCAATGTGTGTTTCTATTTCATACAACCTTCAATGAGAAGGTCTCAATTACTAATACAACCAGTATCAATGGTGTGTGTTCATTGTAACCCTGGTATAAAATACCCATCTGACAATCCCAGTTCCGTGGCCGAAAGAGGAACGGACGTTACCCTTGCTTTGAAAATGAACTTCCCTGTCATTTGGTGGCTTGGTGGGTGGATCGGTTTGCGGGAAAAAGCTTATCTGGTATTTCCATCCCTGTGAGTGTAACCTAGTGAGTGACTTCGGTGCTGCTCCTTTCTCCTTGAAGGTTACCATGTCAAGTTTCCGACCTTTTTCCCCAATCATCATGATGATTTTATTGGCTTCGGGCTTCTCCTTCGAGGCTTGCTTACTCTTTTTTTTCTTATGGTTATGGGTTTACCCTACATACTGTGTCACATACTGTGTCACATATAGATCGCCCGGGGAGAGAATGATGTCAAAGGCATTAAGGAATCGGGCAATAAGTACGGGAATATAATAGAATCCAAAAAAGAATCTGACGTAGAAAGATGCTAAGTGGTTGATGTTACATTCATAACTTTGGGCCTGCTACCGCTGGAGACGAAAGCGATCATCCATTGTGGAGAAATCTATTAAGGCTGTTTTCTGCCAAAGAACGACATAATGTTACCCTGACCCTGACCCGTTTTCTGGGTTCCCTTATGACTAGAAGACTTTGGAGTCACCGAGATGGCCTGCTTTCTTTTCGCCGGTGGTGGTGCTTCGTCTTCTGAAAATGATTCCCAGACAGGTTCCTCTTTCGTTACTGTGCAATTGGAAAACAAGAAAAGGGAGTGTGAGCTGCTGGCCTATCATGTTTCGTATGTGCTAGAAAAGAGAAGGAGAAGGAGCAAAATAATTGTACGTACCGAGATATCCTTCTGCATCTTTTATCGTCATCTTTTTCATCACTTGTCGTCTCCCTCTCCGTCGGCCCTTCCGAGCGCTCGCTTCCTCATCAGGCTCGGGCTTCGGTGCTTCTTCGGGCTGCGAGGCTTCGGCAGACTCTGGCTCTTCCGTGGTGAATGGTTCTGGCGCATCTGTCATTTCTTCATCTTTTGTTGTTTGTGACAAGTCAGCCCACAGCGAAGTGATCTGTAACGTATTCCCAGAGTCACTGGAAAATATACCTTCCATCATTTTCCGAAGCTTCTCTTCTCTCTCCTTCCTTGCCTCCCTCTTCGAGTTGCTGGTTCTCGTCCCTGTGTCAAGGAATAGGTCCTCTCGCTCTTCTTCCGATGAATCATCGAGAGCAACTAGAATATTATGAGCAAGGAAAATGAAAGAAAAAGGAGTAATACGTAAAGGTATCATACCATCTTCAGGGTCACTGGGTTCAGCCTACTCATATAAATCAGTATTTACTCTGACAAGACAATTGAGAGTGATGTTTTGGACATACCGATTCTACGTCAGGACCGCTCGATCTTTCAGGTGTATCTTTCTTGACTTTGGGCTTCGACTTGGCAAAAGCCTTGAATATATTCGAAGTGTCTCGTTTTAGAGAACTGGGTTTATCAGCCGTTCCACCTTGACCGTGACTACGATTGGATGGCCGTGAAGATGCTATAGATGATGCTTGAGGAGCTTGATTTTTAGCTTGTGACTGAGGAGGTTCCTCGACTTTGATGGTCTTGGGTGCTTCATCTGTTTTGGCCGGCTTTGGTTTTTTGACTGTTTCGATAGGAACAGGTGGTGGGGGCGCTGGTGGAAGTCCCGATCGCCGCTTTTAGATTTTCGACCGTTGGTTAGCATATCCAAAAATTGAGCGAGACTCGTTGGCCTTGGGTTCCTACCTTGACGTTTCTATTGAGGATCATGCCGTACTGTTTACCGTGCTCGAGGGGATCTTCTGGCTGGGGCTGCAGTATATCATGTCCAATGTCGCTTAGAACATTTAAGTCCTGCAGACGGGTGGGCTCAACGCTATACATAAAAATTGAGAATATTGTTTGATGCAGGCTCTTGGCTTCTATAGCAAGATATTAGGTCATTGTCCGAGCAAATAAGGTGAGAATTTAATTAAAATTTGAGAATACCGAGCAAGTCTTCCTCGCGCACCAAAGTTATCGTAGTCGTTGGGATATCATCGTTCTCATCATTATCTTCTTGCTGTGCCACCTGGCTGCTCATGGAGGGACTGCTTTGCATAATCTCATCGTCGCCATCCCTGATGTGGCCCTTGAGCGCATGTTGCTGCGTAGGAGCTTGAGTGCCAGTGATGAGATAAGTTGCATTGACACTTTGGGGTTTTTTGGAGTTCTCAACGCGGTGGAACTCAGAAAGCATCCTTCAGAAGATGGGTTAGCACATTTTGTTCCCACTGATCAGAAAGATATTTGAAACCTCCGTACTGTTTGGCTAAGTTGGAATGGACTTTTAGAGCTCTGCTCAGCGAGCGGTAGGTAACCTATGGGGAAGGATTAGCGTGTGTAAACCGCACGATATATGCTTGTAGGTTGCTTACAATCTCTTGCTCATTAAGAACCTTTTCGGCAAGGTATCTTTTATAATTGGCAGCCATCGTGAATTATATATCTCAAGCTTATGTCTCGATTACTCCGTACTTTGAAGCCTCTTGGTAGATGCTGCAGCTTGTCGTCAACGCGTGGGAACGTGATCAATTAACGCGTCTTAGTCATCAAGCTTTGATGATGAACTCGGACTCTTCTTCACGAGGTTTGGAGACGAGAGATTTGGCCGCAATATGAGTACTTTACAGCTGCAAGATCATATATATTAGTTAAAGAAACAACGGTACTCCTTTATGTTTGAATACCCCTTTCTTCCCCTTTACTCTCAATTTCACCACCCTTCTCTCCGTACACGAAACTTCAGTGTAAATGGATCATGCCTACGACATCACGGACTCGACAGATTGGCTCGGCACGCCCCTCTCCCAGCTCGCCCGTGTAGAATCCGCCCTACGATGTCAAGTATGCAAAGACTTCTTCGATAATCCCGTCATCACCTCTTGTTCACATACCTTCTGCTCTCTATGTATACGCCGATGTCTAAGTACGGAGGGGAAATGTCCCGCCTGCAGGACCGCGGATCAGGAACTCAAGCTGCGAAGGGACTGGGCGATGCAGGAGATGGTAGACTCTTTTAAGCTGGCAAGACCTAGCGTTTTGGAGTTTGCGAGAACTGCTACTGTGAGAACGGATGAGCCGGAGGAAGACCTCCAACTGCCTGCAGCGAAGAAGCGGAAGATAGATTCAGGGGTATCTGCGCCGGAGAATGGCAATGCAGCGACCCGTGCTAAGGGCCGGAGAACACGTTCACAAAGTAGAAGATCGGAGGATAAAGGTCTGCAAACACAGGTGGAGGTTATTGAAGATACGGAGGATGAGGATTTGGAACGAGGTATTCCTCTCACTTTTCGCGACGTCTGTTTTCTGCACAAGCTAAATACATCTAGATGATGCCCTTGTTGCATGCCCAGTCTGCCAGCGGAGAATGAAAAATGAGGCTGTATTCGCCCATTTGGATAGTTGCACTGGCTCCTCAGATCCACCGAAGCCGTCCGTATCATTTGGGTATGTTAAGCAATTTTCGAATTAGGAATGAGAGATATGATAATCGTTACTAATATAACCTAAGACCTTTACGAAGTCATGCTCCAACAAATACCCCAAAACGCCTCCCGACATTAAACTACTCGCTCCTGAAGGACACAGTTCTGCGGCGAAAGCTCAAGGAGCTAGGAATTGCCGACTGGGGTCCTAAACCCTTGTTACAAAAGAGGCACACGGAGTGGATGAATATATGGAATGCAAACTGTGATTCCAAGGTACCTAAATCGAAACGGGAGCTATTACGGGAACTCGATATCTGGGAGCGGACACAGGGTGGTCAGGCACCAACTGCTGGTATCTCAACATCTTCAGTAATGCGCAAGGATTTCGATGCCTCCGCTTGGACGACAACGTATGGTGACGACTATAAGGCACTCATTGCCAATGCTCGCAGAAAAACGCAACAAATGGTGCAGGTGGCTCATTCCGAAACCGCTCTAACAACAGATGAAGGCGCGGGAACCGCAGGCAATGAACGTGATCCAGCTATAACCAAATCAGCTCCACGTGACACTCGACATGAGACTCAGGGAGTCGAGAGTGAATCGAAAAATGATGCAATTGGTGGTGCTGTGAATGAGGTAAATGGAGAGGATCAAAGTGTGGGCATGGAACTTGATAGACAGAGAATTTTAGAGGACGCTGTGGAGTGATATATCTTTCTCCTTTTCGAGATCGAATGGTGTTCTAGTGGCGTTTTAAGGCTAACGAATAAATGTATCCAATACATGGTACGAGCAGTATTTGTCTCCCAAAATTGTGCCATTGCCTCCGGGGTATCTATTCTGCTATAACCTGTTCAGCTTTCTGCGCCTCCGTATTCTCCCTGTCTTCGATAGACATATTTGATAATTTTCCAATGCTATCGTCAAGCTCGGAGTCGTAGTCTACTACCGTTGCATTCTCTTTCTCAGCTTTACGCCGCGCTTCAGCTTCAATCGCTGATTTCTCGAATCGTTCAAGCTCCGCCAATTTTCGTTGCGTTGCTTCCGCTTCCTCAGCATCGCGTGCTTCTCGTTCCTGTTTCTCCATAGAGGCAAGCTCATCGTCCAGCTCGTCTTCATCAACTGCTTCTCCAGCCTCATTGATGATATTCCCAACTTCATCGACCTTACTCATCTCCTCTCGCAGCTCTTCCAGAACGTCTTCGACTCTCTCCACCCCACCGACTTGGGCATGTAAGGATCGAAGGGCGCCGGCGCTGGCTTCCATGACTCGTACGATATCTATCTGGTCTGCTGCCTGCTCCAGTTTCATGTAGACTTCTTCGAGTTGGAGTAAAGTATCTGTCCGTTGCTTGAGATTGTTTTCTGCCATCTTTTTGGACCTCAGTGCAGACAGAGCGACCACTCGGTTCTTGTTTGTCACTGCATCCTTCGCTCTCAATGACGATTCCTTGATTTTCGACTCGAGAAGTGCGACTTGTCCGATCAAATTTGATATTAACGTTTTCAAAGACGCGATCGTCCGATCTTCGTGTGTTATTGAGTTAACGTTGTTTTTGGCGCTTTTAAATTTAACCGTCTAAATACTCCTCAGTTACGTATTTATCGAAATACAATAGATGTGCATACCTCTCCATCATAAAGAATCGCGTTTTCATCCCTAGATAAGAATGTCAGGAGGACATCGACATCCAAGTTTGATAACACGGCTCCTCCACCTATATTTGCAAATCGCTTCGTGAAAAGTTCTTTTGAGTATATAAGGTCGGTATTTGACCTATGGGAGCTTGAGGCTGTTGCAACGATGCGTTTCCCAACTTCCTAGACACATAAATATCAAGAGATTCAGTTAGAGGAGTTTGACTCGGGAGTGGAGCTTGACTAAGAACATATTTCAATGTGAAAAGCTGAGGAGAGTCATTTCTAGTCATATATACCTTTAAATTATCCACCAAAACCAAATTCATAACTTGTAAATTTCCTGATCCACCTGAATGACCTTCGGAATCGAATAGGAAGGCCCTTAACTGCTTCATACTCCAACCCATAACTTGTGATATTGTTGGAGGGGGGGGGAGACGTATCCACGATGTTTTGAATGGACTAGTGGAGCTAGTTTGAAAGGCATCTAGGGGTATCATGGAATTACATCGGATCGCTTCATCCTGCGAATCGAGGTCGAGAACCAATTAGTGAGGCAACCGTAACGCACCCCATAGCTGAGAAAATCAAGCCCCAACAGTGGATGGAAATACATATTATGATAACGTACAATGGTAGTCTGTAATGCTACCGGGCGGCCCCATTCTTGCGTCTCCAGCTCTGCCATAAGCGCGTTGCCCGTCCTCAGCACGAGCAAATCACCTCTGGCTGCTGTTCCTTCCTCTCCATGGTGTCTGCTTCCTGGCGAAGAAGAATCTATGACGCCCGCAAGAGCAGCATGAGCTAGCGCTCGCTGCCATGCAGCGACGTTTGTCGCATATCCGTCTGGATTGGTATTCCGTTGGGTGGAGAAGTCTGAGTAGAGAGAAGGAAGTCGAGCTCTGTATTTTGGATTATTAGTTTCCAGATCATTTTGGCTTCTAAGACGGGAGTATGGAAGATAAAACAAAACCGCAAGCCTGACCTTCGGAAAGACTCTTCATGTGCAAGGATGTATGCTAGAAGTTCACTCATAGCTGTTTGATTGGGGTTTGTTGTTGGTGCCAGGAGGGAACGGCTAGTAAACCTTTCACTACCTGTTTACACCTTGTTATTTCGGCGCATAACCCTGTTTCCCGTTCATTTCAAAAGAGATCTTATGGAGTCCAGAATCCATCCGTTCTAAAGTAGGATTGCTAGGATTGCTTCTCCTGGAGACGCGGAGCTGTCCACGGGTGTTATCGATAGGACGAGCAAATATGATCACGTGATTCGGATGCCGTTAGGCAACTGAAATAGAGCTGCAACCAAGTGATGAATGAATTATCTAGTTTATTCAAGAAAATGAGTACCGATATTATGATACTTGGCTTGTTTCAATACCCCACGTCAAGCTCTAGTAGAACTGTGGATATCACCCTAGGAACAACAGTCAAAATGCCTAGTCGAAAAACCAAAGTTGGCGCCTCTACGCTGCGTACCTAGGTACATGTAGGCTTCTCTACTGGGGCAAAAGAGCTCTGTCACCACCAGCGCACTGCTGGTAGAAGGGCCGATCAACCCGGGACCCCCAACAGTATAGACATCATAAGCATGTGACATTACTCGATAATCCGTCCATTTATTTTTCTTAGACCAAATCATCCTGAACTATTCGAAATCATCATTTGGGTGACCTTCATCATCTGATTTTAACCGGGACACGGTTACAGGCGTAGATTCTAGTGGGTTCACACCTCCTCTTAACGATTTTCGGTGAACGCGATCATCCAGCTTCTCTCTCGTCTCTTCCGCGTCAAACTCTATCGGACTAGATATTTCGGCATCGTTGCCGAAACCGCGGGTGCCAAAATATTCCATCTGTATGGCATTCCGTAGATTGTCGATAAACTGTTGCATTTCTGGTAGAGGCCCCTTTCCTTCATCTAATACATCGCTATATAGGCGATCTGATTCTTCGAGGCAAATAGAGGCAAGATTTGGCTTTCCTTGTTTTAGCCAGGAGTCAGCAGCGAGAAGGGCCCACATAGCGGCTTTCCTTCGTCTCATTCCCCATTTTGCACCGCCCGATCCGGTTTTAGAGGCATAGCATGCAGACACTCGCTCGGAGACAAGAATTCGCCCGTTGTCGCCCACAAGACCCATATTGAGGATTCGTATTGCCCATTTTGCTGCAGCATCAGAGGCAGGGCCTCCACGAGATTTCAAGAGTTCCACACCTAAGACAAGGGTTCGTAAAGCATTTTGAGCATCGGAACACCTTGTAAGATATGAATAGCTGGCGGTATCTAAGAGGTGGTCGATGGATTCAAGTTTTGTTCTAGCAGTCGATGCCATGGGGTTTAGCAGAGTGCTGACGGCGCACATTTCATGCGCCCCCGCCTGGTATCTCCATGCTTTATCATGCCCATAGTCTCCTTTCACAAGCTCATAGGTTGACGACGCAAGTTTCCAGTCACGGAGCATGAATGCAAAGTCTGCCAACTTCCGTAATATTGCCTCGGGTGCATCGGGTTTGTAGAATCCCTGAGAATCATAATTGGTCCCTGATCCAGAGCCATACGCACCACCGGACGACCTTGTATTTGCTCCAAACCCGGCCCAACGCCTTGACATTGACATAAATCGACCACTCAAGCCTCGCCTCCGAGATGCAACTTGCTCATTCCAAAGAGCAACTCGATTTTCCATATGAGGGATCACCGACTGAGCGACCATTTCCCGAATGAATGCTTTGATAGCGGTGACGTCAGATTCAAAAATATATGAACCTTCGGACTCAACATCAATAAGAGTTTCTAAACGGATATTAGCAGGTATATTCCAGTTTTAGGAGTAGGGAAAGGTACATACCTTGTTCGCCCAACTCGGAGAGATCTTCCGACGGAGTTAGCCATTCACAGGAGGGAAATTGCGTGCTGTCATCGTCCGTTATGACGCATTGGTTGCTCCGCAGCCGTAAAAGATGGCAGTGGAGGCCAAAGTGCCTCTTCATTTGATCAAACAAAGCTGTTGACTTAGTGATGTCATCCTTGTCTTCGTCATGGACGAGAACGTAGTATCGAAGATATTCGGGATACACCCATTGAGGAGGTCGCTTATCGCCCTGAATTGTATGTGCATACAGTTGACGTAGCGATTCAAGAGGCGTAGGGGTATGTGAACTTATTGCAATAATGCAGGCAACGGGGTGCATGAAGGTTTCGTGAGGCGAGGTATACGCCGGGGAGAGTAGACGTCGAAGGAATAGTTTATAAACTGGAGAAGCTAGGGGTAAACGGCCATGTCCGCCATCGCCACCCCGAGTCCAACTTGCTAATGGGTCGTCAATTGAATGGATATGCCTGTCAAGTACTTGCTCTATCTGAACGAGAGAGGGAACGGGTTCCGTTTTGCTGGTCTCCGTGTCCTGTTTTTTCGTATCCAAATCAATAAAACGAACCCCGAAATCCTCCCAGGTCCGACTAGAGCCGCTGTTATCACGTATAACTATCTTTCCCGCGATCGTTTCCCCAAATGGCCTTATTAGTTCATGGAATCCATTTTTGAAGCCCTTTCGCTGCACTAGAGCATCCGTGTCTGGCGAGGCATATACGCCTATTACCGGGGAGAATGCTCGGATTATTAGAGAACGGATGTCGTCGGTAGTATCGATTTGGAACCCCAGCGGTGAAAGAGTACTTGAGCGAGATAGATGTGAGGCGGAGGCGGAGGCAGAATACGATAGCCTCCCATTGGGAGATGCTGTTCTCGATGATCGGCCGGAGGATAGGGACGAGCGTCGTTCCAGAGGAGAATCAGTCAAGACGGATTCAGATAACGAAGAGATCAGCGGCTGGGTGGTCTGAATCTTCTCCGGATATCTAGCTTTAGATACGTTGAGCGCGGCTCCGGGAGAAAAGGACGGCGGAGGCTTGACTGGCGCAACATCGTCCGGTGATGTCATTGGACACTTCGAGGACTCTATAGAATAGTAGTTTGGCTGGTAGCTGTGAGCATCTGTAGTAGTGCGAATAAAGAGAACTCGTTAGATGGTATATATAGGAGTAGTGTGTGCTGTTGGGGGAGGGGTTGTCGTTGCTGCTGTCGTTTGGTTAAATAGAGCTAGAGGCGCGGAAGCCAGAAAAGAAAAAGATCACTCCTCGTAAATATTTATTTAAATATTTAGCTCAAATAAATATTTAACGTGGCTTTCCTTTCCACAACGAAACCAACAACCAAAATTTTTGGAAGTAATCCACAACAAACGCGTTAAATATACCATCTCCCAAATACTTTTAACTACTCGCCATTATGACAGACCCCTATGCGCTCGTTAATCGGTCCGTTCCCAGATGACTGCTCGTTTAGCACAAGCAATCCTTCCTTGCGCCCAGCCCACTCGCCGGACGCTATTGACTCATTCCGCAACCAGACACATCATCGGGCGTTATAATCAACCTTCCATAAGCTGGACAGGAACCAAATCTGTGGGCTTCTTCCAAAAATTACGCTGTCTAACACAACCACTCCGGAATCCTATGTCATTTCGAGAGAAATCAAGCCTCTCTCCTGAAGAACGACCTAGCAAGCGGAGACGAATTTTAGGGGCCTTTGTAAAGGAGGACACCCAGAGAGCCATGACCAAAGACTCGACTACCTCGTCGACCGTTCCCCGAATAACACTTACGCCCATCGAACAGACTTTGCGATTATGTCTCCTTGATGCGGTGGAGTTTATTCAGCAACGAGACAAGGAAGATACCCAAGCGTTGCCAACAGACGTCGAGCCACTGGTTTTACGGTTCGCTGGAGGATGGGTGCGCGACAAGCTTCTCGGTGTTGATAGTCATGACATTGATGTAGCAATAAACTGCATTACGGGGGAAAGATTCGGGGAGGGGTTGAAAGAGTATCTGGACACCCCGGGAAACCTCGAAAAATACAAGGCGTTTCACTCTGACCCGTCTATTATTGATTGCATCAGAATCCATAAGATTGAGAAGAATCCCGAAAAATCGAAGCACCTTGAAACTGCCACTACGAAAATATTCGGCCTGGAAGTTGATCTGGTAAATCTGCGGAAAGAGACATATACTGATGATAGCCGCAATCCACAGATCGAAATAGGCACCCCAGAGGAGGATGCACTTCGTCGGGATGCTACTGTGAATGCATTATTTTACAACATACATACAGACATGATTGAAGATTTCACAGGAAAGGGGTTACAAGATTTGGAAAATAAAATTATACGTACACCGATGGCTCCCTTCCAAACTTTTAAAGATGATCCACTCCGAGTTCTACGGTTGATACGCTTCGCAAGCAGACTGGGTTACAGTATCGACAGCGACACAGAAGAGGCTATGAAAATTGAGGATATAAAAGCGGCTCTAAAAGCAAAAATTACGCAAGAAAGAATTGGTGTTGAGATGGAGAAAACTCTACGAGGTATGGTTTCCCAGGACCTAATCCCATGTTATTTACATGCGGCTAATTGAACACCTTTTTAGGACCCGACCCCTTAACCGCTTTGCAGCGGATCAACCGACTTGGTCTATATGATACTATTTTTGCTAATCATCGGGATAATGCCGGAGTTGATACATCATCCTGGGAACGAGGCTATAATGCCCTTACGCTTTTGTTAAGCGAATCGACTGGAAATATTGATGAATCGCAGAAAACGCGAGAATATGTCCGAGATACGCTTATCCGCGATGAGAATGAGAGATATTTTGCTTGGTTTCTCACTGCGCTTGCCCCGTGGGTCACTATTGCGGACCCAGTACCACCAAAACCCTCAAAGCCTACAGTACCACGCGCTACAACTGTCGCTAGAGATAGCCTTCGTGCAGACAACAAGGCTGCCAGTATTATCTCTGCAGCCTCCAAGAATTATCAGACGATCTGGGATATCAAATCATCTTTTCTTAAGAATGAGATCGCCGATACGCCTTCTGAGACCCGCGTGAAAATTGGACTCTTCATCCGCACCCTGTCTCATGACTGGCGATTATGTTTTGTTCTTGCTATGCTCCTTGAAGTTATGCGGGGACAAGAAGCTGATCATGGTAAGTCTTTTCGCAAGATTGTCGTCATATTTTACAAGGCTATAGCTAATGGTACGTTTTTTTCGATAGTATTTCACAATTATGAAAAGTTGCTTTCATACATTGAAAATACTAATCTTCTCGACGTGTGCTCATTACGATCACCTATCAACGGACGCGACATCATCAACGCTCTCGGCGTGAAGACGGGACCTTGGATGTCCAAGGCCGTGGATATGGTTATCGAATGGCAGCTTCGCAACCCCGACGAAGCAAGTAAGGAGGCCGCAATTAATGAGGTTCTTAGAAGGAAAGATGAGTTAGGACTAAATAGCAAAACAATGGGGAAATAGAAGTAGACAATCTGAAAGCAGGTTGATAATGAATATGCGGGGTATAGTAACTACAGTACAATCCATTTATTTATCATATTGTAGGGCGGTTGTTGGATACCTAGAGTCGAGTTAGGGTTTTTGATGACAAAGCTAGCTTCCACACACCTAACTACACCAATGAGTTTACTAGTGAATTTAAAGTCTACTGCATACTGTACAAGTACTATATTTGCCGGCTCCAATAATACAAACACTGGCACCATTAATTGATTTAAGGAAATTGATGTGTACTCCATGTGGCAATAATTCGCCCTCATGCACCAGTATAGGATAGCAGCTTGCAAAAGCTTGAAAGCCGTGGACGACAAAGCCAACTATCATCTTGATACATCTCAGATTGAGTCTGATATAAGCCTGCCTGACCTGTGGTCCGAGATCAGTGCAAATGAACCCTCTGTCACTACTGAAAAGGCATGTTTAAAGTTATTAAGGCGAATGCCACAGAGAGCATACACAAGTTCGTTCGTTACTAATATTATTCTGCTAGCAATGCGAAGATCTTCTCCTCGTGGAGGCAGTCTTGAGGGCTACCAGGCAGCCCGGTTTATTACAAAGGGAAGATCGAGAAGCGGCAAGATTCCTGACATTCTGGACTGCCCGCGCTGTGCTACCAAATGAAGATGTTACTGTTTTATGGGAAAACGCGCAGCTTGCCGATAGTGAGTTTGATTTAAACATCTTTGGGAGAATAAATGTATTTTCGCTAATCACCGTTGAGTAGACGAAGACTCAAAACGCTCACAACCCGGAACATACAAATTGGCCCGACTAAAATCAAGTGTTGGAGTATCGGTTTTAGGACTTCTCAATTTGATTAGCCCTATCGAAAACCTTGAAGACGAGGATGCAATTGATGTCATCGCCTCCCTAGCCGCCTTCACGTGCAGGAAGGACCCTTGGACGACGGAGCGTGCATTCAATGAGTCCTCAACTATTCTTCAAAACTATGAGTCATGCCTTGGCTCAGGGACGAGAGGAGAGTTGGCTGCTATTCAGGAAGATATTCTTAGAAAGAAAATAAAGCCATTGTTTTCGAAGACGAAGACGCCCGCGGTGACAGCTGCAGGCAGAAAAAATGTCCACCCTCTTCCACAACCAAGATTTGACCCGAGCATTTTTGACCCAGAGTCCAAGCCGTGGAAGCTTAGAGATGTGTACCTGATTACGGTACTTTCTTGGGTTATTGGAAGATATTCGGTACGTTGACAGTTACTATTTTCTACGGTACCCCTGACACTAAAACAATGGAAATCCACTGCCAGCTCGCTGTAACAACAGATAAATGTTTCTAATATGCTTCTAAAATTTCAATGGAGATGAGATATACTAATAGAGAGAATCCACCCTATTAGCCATCTGACAAACTCGCACTTGAATCGCAATTCCCTCTCCTTGTCCCAGCAATCCTATCCTTAATAGATGACGAAACCCTCTCATTCAAGGCCAAGGGCTGCGAGTTGCTGTCGAAATTCCTAGCTCCCCTTGAACAGTCAAACTCAGATATACTCCAGCGCACAAACCTGGATTCAGTATTCCAAGACGCTCTTAACCCTTGCCTGCTCTCCCTTCCTACAATCACACCTGAGCCTGAATCCATTCATCTTCTCCAATATGCCTACCCAGCACTTCACGCCGTAATCCGCACTCGTTTCCCTTCACCCCTACTCCAACCTACATCAACACCACTAAGACCCACCCAATCCAGACCGAAACTAGATTCCGAATCTCAAAAGCGTGTGGAATCTCTCACTAACCTCCTGCGCCACGGCATCCTTCACTCTTATCACCACACCAGCAACCCTCGCCCGATTGAAAACACCTCAATATCCTCGTATCCATATCCCCGCCTCTCTACCCTCCTTCTCTTCCAGCTCCCACCGGTCCTCTCGGAGTTAGGTATCCACACCACCAAGCATCTCCAAGATCTCGTTCCGATGATTTCAGCCACATTGTCCAACCCGTTTGGAACAGTATTCCCGCCACTTCTTGCTGCGGCGGTTGAAGCGACAAGAATGCTAGTCTTGAACGCATGGCCGAGAATTTGGAGGTGGCGGGCAGAGATACTAGGCGGGTTGTGTGCCTGTTGGTTGCATATCTGTGATGGTTTGGTAGATATAGGGATAGGCACTGGGGGCGACAATGGCAGTGGACAGAAGGCAGAGTTACTTCAGCTACAGGGTGGGCTTAAGGTCGTAGTTGCAGTAGTAAGGATTGCGATCGAGGAGTGCGTGGGTCCGGCTATGGAGGAGACTGGTAATGAAATAGGAGAACAGGGTGGAGACAAGGGAGGGAAGGGACAAGTTATTGATGTTGATAGTGAATTTGGAAAGTTGGTTCAAGGGGATACGAGGTTGAGTGGTCTGCTGATCGATAATGAGTATTTTGATAGCAAAGAGGGGTAACAATTCACTTCGCTCCGACAATTGCGTGATATTTGTCTCAACAATTTTCCTTTCGTTAAAACAATATTAAATTTTTGAAGCTATGGAGTCTAACACCTATGTCCTCCAAGATCAACAAGTGTAGGGTATAAATGTATCGTCATGGGATATTATCCAATTAGTTAAACGATGAAAACGCAAGAGAGAAATGTACGCCACAGTACAGACAGCGCACCCTCATAACCATGAGCTGAGACAAAGAACTACGTATCACGAATCAACTCGCTGCTTGAACAGGCTCTTTCCTCTCAACCACTGCCGATAACGCTTGTACCTTTTCTTATCGTGGTCCTCTGCTATGACTGTCAATCCTTCCTCACTCACATTGACAAACTCAAGATAGTCTGGCAAATTATCCTCCGCTAATAAGTCCAAGTTAGCATCGTCGAGTGTGAATTTATTGGCATATTCGAAAAGGTCAAGGTTTGATCCACGCTCCGCCAGCGAAGCGGCAGCCAGCGTGTCCTCTGAGGTCACGACAAGGGGGACTTTGAGAGGGTGATTGATGTAGCGTTCGTACTCTTCTGCCTCCACAGCGGAGACTGATGGGTGGAGTGATTCGTAGACTAGCTCGTCCAGACTCCATTGGATGAGTTGTGCTTTACTAGGAGCATGTGAGTTGTTGGCCATATAGGTTTCTGGGCTGTCGGAAGTTTCGAAACGGGGTGCTTTCATGATACCGGTCTGGGGCGGGTGTTTCTCGGCAGAGGGAGGTTGCTGGAGCCAGTTCTGGATAGGTTTAGAGACAGCTGATGAGTCGACGAAGGAGTTCATGGAGCGTGCGTCTTCGCTTTGGATATCTGATGGTTCTTGGATGGTGACGCCTTTTCGGCGGGATGGTTTCTTCTCACGACCATCGGGTTCGTTAACCACACGCACGACAAATGGACTGAAGTTGTACTGAACCCCTTGGATCGATCGGAAAGGAAGATAACGTATTGTTGATTTCATCTTGTTTGAGAAGATTTTGGAAAAGGAAGACACGGCCAACGGACGGTAGTATTCTAGCCAGTAGTCGTCGTAGTTGTTGACCTGGGGATTCTTTACACCTTTTGGAACCACGGCTGACGGTGTTTGGTGAGGTTTCAAGTATTCTGGATTGAACCAGTTTATATAATTATAGTTGTTCGACCGTACTCGTGGATCCGAATGATGGAGATAATAATCCGTGGCAAGTTCCCACAACATGGGCTGGCCGTGGGAAAATATGTAGTTCCCTAGGAATAAGTTGTACGCTTCCTGGCGCTGCGCATCGAGAAAGGAATTGTTATAATATCGTTTAAAGCTTTCAACCATATCTCTGGAATGGCTCGTCCACTGGTTGATTTTTCTATAGGTCGCCATGGTGTTCACGAGGTGTGATCCACCATATTGAACTGCTATTGTATCGCCATGATGATGCCACATGGTAGTGAACAAGTTCATCGCATCGGTGTCATACTCGACGGATACTTCGTCGATAATCCCCAAGGCATGGAGTTGATATCCCAGCGCCCGCTTACCAATGACAAACTGGGCGGCATTCGTTCGGTCAAGGCAGTCGATACAATTTGTTCTTGCAATGCCATTTTGTAACTGCAACCCGGATTCAGCATCCTTGCCGTTGCGGAAAAACCCTGTCTTTGGTATTATATCCTCAGCGATGTCCTCTAACGTGCCGATGACATCTTGATCACGACTCTTTGACGCTCGACTCATGTCCCAAGCTTTGTAAAGAATTTTCTTATCTTCAGGCAGAAATTGATTTAGGTAGGTAATGGCATTCGTAAACTCCGTTAGCAATTTGGATTCCCGTGGGACTCTCTCCCTGGCTTTGATAAGGTTCAAGACGTACACGGGTGCGCCATATCGTTCGAACAGGTTATTGAAATGAAGAGCAGCAGCCGAATAGAACGGGTCAACAAGATTCAGCTCAATATCGGGCTTCGGGCTGACCCCTGTACTGTCCTGCGTCCAATGCAATGGAATACTACCACGGTGTTGTACATACGAAGTGTACTGAGGATTTGCGTAAAGCTTTGGTCCAGGAGAATGAAAGGAGGTGGTCAACATTTCGGAGACAATCTGTTCGGTTTCAACATCGTTGGCGACGTAACCAAGATCGTTTGCGCCGCGCTTCAGAAATCGTGCCCCTGCAAAGAATCTAGACCGGCGGGCAATTATGGTTACATATACTAGTCTTCCATAGACGGATATCATCGACTGATCAACATATCCGTGTATGATCGGGAGGCACCAGTCAAACGCATTCTTAAAAAGGGAAACCACAGGTTCCAACATGTAATAATTCCAAACAAACATTGGATTGTGATCAACGTCGCGACCGTCAGAACTTCCTCTTTGTAGTTTCTCTCGTTCGTAAGAAATATTTCGTTGCAGCGTTCGAGTGATGTTATAAGAGTAACTGAAGTAAAAGGATCGTGTTAAATCGACATTATTCATAATGGCAATGAATCTTGCCTCCTCAGCATTTTTTTCAGATTTAGTTCGGGCTGATGCTGTAGAGGTTAATGGTACAAGTTCTGTGCCGTCAATCTGGTAGATATAGTGTCCGCCAATCATTGCAACTTGACTTCTTCTCGTGACCAGAAGCATGTAGTATGGCCCAGTAAATTTAATGAAACCTAGTAGGCCCCAGGAACTGCATCTAAGCTTTAAGCCACCAGAGCTTTTGTTTCCATCATCAACCGCATCTAGGAGCTCATTCATTTCACTTTTGGTGTAAACGGTATCGTCTTCTGAGATGTTGAGATCGTCCAGCTCAGAAGTGCGCTCGATCTTTAGAATCCGGAAACGTTGCTCCAACAAATCCATGCCCACCATGTAATACCGCGTTGAAGTCTCATATAGCGAGAACTTGTGCATTCTGGAGACCCAGTCATCTCCTATCTTCCCATCGAGGAAATGCCGACTTCTCTGGGCCCCAGTGGAAGGGGAAGACGTCCGTTCAAAGGATTCGGCGACATTTGGCTCCTCATCTCCAGCCTCCGTACCCTCGTCAAATATTGGCACATGGTTGGCAAGGCCGCGGGTAACTGACTGCTCCTCGAATGGGGTCGTAGTGCCATTTAGCTTCGTATCTTTGATATTGATATCACAAGATGCTGGTCGTGCTGGCTCAGGAATAGTTGCATCCAGTGAGCCCTGCTCCTCACTTTCGATAAGTGTTTTGAGGGGTCGCGTCACATTATCGAAACTCTCCATTGAAACTAGAAAACATGCGGTATGGCCAAAATAAAGGGCAAGACGAGTTACCTTGGATGGGACCTTGGTCAAGTGTATGTTCAAAAAGTCCCTTATCTCGATAGGATAGCGCGACGTTGATGGCGTTACGTCATACGTTTCCCCTTGGACAGAGAGCAATTAGTTAACTAGTTAACTATCACGTGATATCATATTTTGTTGGAGTGTAGTGTGCTATGCTATGCTGGTATGCTCGGTGGGAGATGTATGTAACTATGTATTTGTATGTACATTACTGCAAGATCAAACTAAACGCCCATCCTTTTGATTCATTGTAGGTTCTATTTTCGCCGCAAGATTGCTACTCCTGAGTATGCCGCTGTCAAGTTGTTTTTCTATTCCTTAACATGGGTCGCGTCAACTTCCCCAACATCTAGATAGGCAATCTGGGGGACAATTTCAAGCTGCACTGCCATGTCTGGCGCATCAATGAGAAAATCACTGAGAAGTCAACTCTGCTGCCCTCACTCCCCAGCATCCACAGAGGCAAAGCCGAGGCCCAGGCTGTCTATCACTACAAGGAGATTTTCCAGGGCAGATAGAACAGGAGACGGGTGTTTGTCAAAGTACAAATACACTAAGGATACACATGTCTACATATATCAGCAAACTGGAATAAATCTTGCCCATAGAGTACCCCCAGAGTTCCTGCCTAGTTTCAACTCAGGAGTTTGCACTCAGCTAGCAGAAACAGTGCTAGCAGGCTGGACATGTAATGAGCTGCACTCCCACACTCGCTTCAACAAGAAGAAATGCACAGTGATCCCCAAGCTGCTCAATGTTGTGAGCTCATGGCAAGATGGGCCTAAAATGCCTGTCAAATGGCTATCTGATGTTTATTGTGATGAACTCCCAGGTGTCTCACTGACTGATTTCTGGAGCTACCCTCTCTGGAAGCGCAATGTGGTCAGAGCTTCATTTGAAAGGAGTCTGACATAAGTAGCAGCCCTTTACTATTTGGACCTTTACTTACTAGTCATGACTACTTATAGTGAGCTATTTAGCTTTCACGGACGTCCTTGGGATTGCAGGCTCAGAATCTTATCCACAATGAGAAGACTGACAAATGGTAAGCCCTCAAGTCATTGTTTACATAACAAATCACTACTCATTATAGCTCTTCTTCTTGTAGCTACTTCTGTTGAATTTGAAGGAGTCGATGTGACAGAGGACAAACAGGTGCTCAGTTTTTCAGATATCTATTTCTACCTGTGGGGTTTGATGCTGAGGAGTTTGGCGAGGTTCGCCGCTAGTATGGAGCTACGAATGGCTGCTACAATCCAAGGTATCTAATGATATCTGAATCTCAAAATCGCGCGGGAACCCCTTGCCTTGACGTTCTAGGTACTCTCATATTGTTTTATTTCAGACACATTGGACATATTACATCCCGAAACATTGAACTAGCAATGTATGGCTGGGCGAATGGCCCACAGTCAGAGAAAATGCTACGAAGTCTGCACAACAGAGTGTCGACCGGAATATGGGAGCAAATATATTGTCTTGGTGATGGTGGCTGAACAGGGTGTCTCACTGTTGTCAACATTCTTGGGCTCGTGCGAAATTCTAATGGAGGTGCCAGCTTCATATGCCGCGTCCGTGGGAAAGGTATCCCTTGTTTGATTAAGCAATGGGTTTCAATTGTTGACGATGCTGTGGATCGCCCTCTATCTACGATTGTTCGTGGAGAACGGTACGACAAGGCAGCCGCTAAGAACAGAAACTAATGTTTCTGATACGTCCCTGGAAATAGGATTTGATCGGCATGGAAGAAGATTTGTGCATCATTCCAAACAAATGTCTACTAGAACGGCAAGCAACCCCTCATTCGACCAACCGAGAGATATGTCTGTTCGGTTAGCAGAGTGCCGTGACACCTCTCGATGGTGCCACAGGGTAAGGTTGGTCAGGGCTAGGTTCATTTGAGACCTTCGTCATGCAGAGATGCAACCTATTTTCCCATATGCTCCGGCCAGAAGTTAGCCACAAAAATTTGGGTGTTACCAAAACTCCTGAGGGAACCAAGAGCAAGATCCTGAACTGTGTCTCCCAGCGGCTGCCCTTAAGCCCATATGTACGCGGGTTGCTTCCTTATTGGCATGGTTAAGTTGCTGGTTACCTACAGCGGATTCCCCCGAACATCTCATAGTGGAAAGTGAAAGACATACTGCCCAGGGTTGATAGGCGATTACTGCATCTTGCCTACTCGTTTATTTCGGAAAAGTATCGCGGACGGCACGCTGAAAGTCATGAATGTGACAAAGATAAAAAACGAATATGCCGCCGCTTAGTTGTGGTCGTGGTACTCTCCCCCACTGGTCTTCTAGCTCGCGCGTTGTTGCTGCAGGTGTCGATCTAGCATTCACAGACGTCCCGCAGTTCAGGGACTGTCATCATGATTAAACTAAGTTTTCAAATTTCCCTGCCCCCCTGCCCATCCTGTAGGATCAAATGTCGACAAGTTAAAACAAGATATGATGGCTCAGGTTATTTCTAATGATGCCTTCCCCGTTCCTCTCAAATGATGATGCTACGTTATCCACATATGCTGATATCCAGGAAGGAAATAAAGAAAAAGAAAAGAAAAAACTACAAGATGACACTTGGGATAGCTACCTAGGTATAGAAGTCAATATATTCTCGAAACGCCTGATCTAGTCCCACAATAATAATACAAACCTAAGGAAAATAACGATTCCAGCCTCAAAATGCAAAAAGCACCCACCCCTTGTTGCAGTATACATACCATCTATCCTTTAGACCACTCTATGCATGCGACTTTCTATAATTTAACACCCATATTCTCCAAACAAACCAAACCAACCAACAAGCCTCATCTATTTACCAATCCATCAAAAACGGATGCGCCTCCGTATTAAAAACATACTTGTCCAAACTCGCGAGATCCGGCTCGCTAAACAGAAGATAAAAATATTTCAACGTCTCCCCAGTCCAGAACGACTCCATCTCATTCTCCACCCTCGGTTTTGGCGACGTGACATCATCCAGACCGCCGTAAGCGAACTCCGTCTTCGCATGCTTCTCGATGGCAGAGAACATTTCCCAACCTTTGTCTTGGAGGCTCCTGTCGCCAGTGATGCGGTAGAGGATGAAGACGGATTCGATAGCCTCGGGCCTGTTTTGTATGGTGTGTTAAAATCGGCAGGGTCCTTGATATTTTAATAGGGAAGGGGCGGGAGGAGCAATAAATAAAATAAAATAAATACCTTAAAGAATATCCCCTTTGGATAATTGTGGAAAATCCGGCAACCTTCCCCTGTTCCCGGCCCATGCGCTCGTAGTCGCTGTCTGAAGCCCCGTCATGAATTTCACCAATAAACCACGACTCCGGTCGCCACTTGCAATCCGCCTGGTCCTCACAGGGGACTACCTCGAACGTCTCTGGCATTACCCCACTGGGAGTGGCTTTGTATGCCCAGATACAACCTTCTGCGAGTTTTCTGGCGATCTCGAGTTCCTCAGGGCGATTGAAGACCTTAGCACCAAGGGCAACCATACCCCCTACAAAGCACGTAAGGTGTTGTCCTTCGGGTCTGAGTGTGACCATTGTTGTTCCTCCAATATATGCAGTTCCGGAAATCAGGATGTCATCACTGTCTTTGGTCATGGGCCGGAAAAAAATGTGTTTCTTGGCCACTTCGATGGCTTTTTCGTACATGTCTTTGTACTGCTGGTTCCGGCCACCGAGTAAGATATATTCCTAAATTGATGCATTATTAGCCACCAGATCATGGAAGGGCAGATGCATCGGTATTTGAGTTTCGTACTTTCGGTAGATACTCATACAGAGAATCTGCCATGCTACCAAAAGTGAATCGACGATCCCTAGTAAATGAGGGAGTTTGAGTATCGACAGATAGCGGCCATAATCCAGGAATGTTTGTGTTAAACTGGTGCTCCTGAAGTATATTTGTGATCCGATGGATGGCATCATAGTACTTGTGGTCCCCGGTAATCTGCGATAGCCTTGTGAATTCGAGGGATAATGACCCGAGTTCAGCAAGATTATTTAGCGTGCTTGACTCCTGGTTATCACCATCCCTTGCCCCAGGCCAGTACCAACGGAGAACGGGCATTCGATTCGGAGTATCGAATGCAATGTATAGAAGATCTCCTACTTCTACCGCTTTTTGCAAAAGGACCGGATAAGCTCCCTCTGAAAGATCGTAGGCTGCTAGAAATCCACCCAAATACCGAATATTCGTTTCAAACACATTTAGCATTAACATGTTACTAGACGAGAAGTCAATGTGCTTAACTGCCGCAACAGCCTCCTTGAATTCCTTCTCCAAGCCCATGAGCCACAACGTATCCAGCGTATCAACTAACGTTGCACCCCACCCACCGTATGGATTCCTCGCCCCACCGTTAACGGGTGCAAGCTCATCCTTCAACCAGGCATATTCCTTATATCCTTTCCATGTATGGAGGAATGCCTTTTTTACTAAATCCCGGCGAGATTCTCTAATTGCCTTGGAATTTGGATCCTCATTTCCAAATTCAAATTGGATTTTTGGAATTGGTACGGGTTTCGTGGTTGGAAGAGGGACCATAGACGTCACAGGGTATTTGATGACATGCCGCCTGAACCAATTGTGAACAACTTTCTGTTTTCGTCTTGCGGGTGGTGAGGAGACAGAGGACGTCGAGTCGGGCGATGAAAGATTATTTATGTGAAGCAAAGTGAATAGGAAAACAAAAGTGAAAATTAGGGTGATGACCCATCGTCGAATCCAAGCCATTGCAGAATGTTGAAAGGAGTGTATTATTCAAAATGAAAAGACCGAAAAGAAAAGAGCGGCAACGACGACGAAACGATTGCCCTGAGTATCATCGCACAGGTTAAAGGAAGGAGTAAGAAGATGAGAAGAAAAGATTGCAATTGCAACCGAAGAGAAATGCCATTGCTCGTGAAATCTGGGGTTCCAAAAATTTACAATTCATCTGCTTCTTCCATGCTCGTTCTCAAGGCTCCAAAGAAACTCAAGCTTGCTAGGATCCAGGCCAATCGGGCATTGCTTCGACGGGATGGGATTGGTCTTCTTTGCATTTCAGGAAAACTCAGGGCTCCCAAGTTCCACTACAGACCCATTATTCTGTCTTAGCTCATGTTTGATCTTGTTCCAGAGCCACAAAAATAGCCATGATGTTTGCCTGGGTATTGCTTAAGTCTCCCCGATTGGCGGCAAAAATGTTTCCAGGGGGGGGGGGCTGCCCCTGGTTGGCAGTGACGTAAGCTTGGCTAGGGCGGCAGCTGCGCGAGCAGCCCCAAGGATTAGGCGTCCGGCTAACGGGGTTCCAGGCCGTCCAGGCGCTGCTCGGGGCTTCTATGTTGGGTCTTCTTGCCCAGCGGTGGGCCCTGTGGGGCCGCTTGGCTCGCCTTAGCAAGCTTGTGTCAAGTTAGCTTGCATATCAGTGGACCAGCAATTTTTTGGGCCCAGTTTTGCTCCACGCGTGTGAATGTCTCTGGTGCTGCCAAGTTTTTCCAAGCAATCCATTTTCTGGGGAAATTGAAGCAACAAAGGGGACGAAATATTATTTATAAATCGGTTAAAAATCATATAAATGCAGCATGACCCACAGGAAGCCAAAGTTTTTGCAAAAATGCGCTTTTGTTCTTGGGCAAGCGCCGCCGGACACCGGCCGCCTATTCATTCATATCGGCTGTGTCATATATCGGGCAAGCAAGCAGGATGAAGGGTAGCAAGGTGAGTTAGTTCTCATTGTTCGATATAAACGCAAGAACGCTTCACTATATGAAGAAGATACCCTTCAAATGCCAATTAGGTGATCCCGCCTCCCCTCCAAAATCGCAGTTCATTCAGGAAGCTGCTAAGTTAAAATACCGCCCGGTTATAGTAGACGTAGATTTTAACACGCTTTGGAAATAACTTACTCGACATGGGGCTCCATTCAAAGGGCATAGGGACCACAACGTGATGTTCTTAAAGATGTTCTTCATTAATTTCAGATAGGAGATGGGTTCCTGTTTATTCCAGCGGAGCGCGTCCAAAATTTTATTATCCCCGGATACAAGTTCGCAGAGCAGTCGGAACTGAACTCCCAAGACAAATAACGGCCGTACGCTTCAAAGAAGACAGGGTCCCAATTTGAATTGACCCGAACTCCGATATATGATCAGCCTGCAAACGCATTTCCCCTCCTGAAAACCAAATGGATGAGGGGGTGTTTGGTGAGATGTGTATGGGAATGGGCGTTAAAGATCCAGTGGGCCTGAAAACACGTGATTGCTGCCTGAAATGATTTCGTATTGTCGGCTTGTTCGACCGGATTTGAGCATCAAGGGGTTTGCATCCCACAGAATCAACTCTTCCAGGGTTGTTCAAGGGTCAATGAGTCACATCTACAAGCTTCAGATAGCGTTGGTCGATGGGATGAAGAGGGGAAGGTTGATGCGACGTAGCCAGGACATAAAAAGATCCTTCCTTTCCCACCCCAAGCGCATCTCAATCTCTGGAGCTCCGCAGGAACAATATGAGCATACCATAATCTAAACTCTCGGGGTCAAAATTGATCAATTGGAAATTTATCCACCCAACACCAAAGAAAAAAACCTTTACTCCTTCCTCTGACCACCATGTCCCTCCCAACTTTCACCGTTCCCTCGCACAAAATTCACACATGTCTCTGGTTCGAGAAAGACGCCATCAAGGCAGCCGAGTTCTACGTCTCCCTCTTTAAAAATTCTCGCATAGTCAGCAGCTTCGATACTCTGGTCACACTCGTTCTCGACGGCCAGGAGATATCTCTCCTGAATGGCGGCACTTATTTCACCCTCTCCCCGGCAGCGTCCCTTTTCACCATTTGCGAGGATCAGGACGAGGTTGACCGTTTGTGGGCGGCGTTGCTCGTGGATGGCGGCAAAGAGTCACAGTGTGGTTGGGTCACCGATAAATTTGGCGTCTCATGGCAGATTGTTCCGAAATGCTTGATGGAGATGATGGGAGATTCCGACAAGGAGAAGGCAAAGAGGGTTACGGATGCGATGTTGAACAGCATCAAGTTTGATATTGCGACGTTGAAGAAGGCGTTTGATGGAGGTGATTGAGGTGATTGAGGTCGCCCCTCACGATGATGGAACAACATATATATATATATATATATATTAGCAAGGGACAAGAGAGCAGTCTACAGGGAGCTGTTACATAGTATGTTTTGGCTTACCCCGCCCATAGTTTTCAAACCACCTTTTTCTTTTTTTTCTTTTTTTTCTCATTTTTCATTTTTTCATTTTTCATTTCATTTTTCATTTCATTTTTCATTTTCTTTTCATTTATTTTTTTTCATTTATTTATTTATTTATTTTTTTTTTTTTTTTGATCGAAGGAGAGTTTTCAAATTTGAAATGAAAGAGTTTTTGGTCCTCTTTTTTTATCCAGAGTTGTCGTAGCCTTGTTTTCCGCATAGCAATCGTGATTCAGTTGGAAAGTATCCCCTCCTGATGTCTCCTGGCATATTTCGTAGGTACCTTCGGGGTACCACTCATGAAATCCCTAGTGCAGTACATTTTGGATTGCTTGAAAGTGACCGGAACGTCTCCCATCTCAATCCCGAAGTCCGATAAGCTTCGGCACCGGTTACCCCACAAACTCGGCCCGATACCAATATCCTAGCTCCCGAGGTACATGTAACTACTATACAAACAGCGAACCAATCAAAATTACCAATAATGTAGCTAGGTAGGGCGCGAAGAAGAATTCAAATGCGCATCAAACAGAAACCTAGGGAAGACTAGGCCCAACTTTTTAATCCGAGGCTCAGACTCTCATACTGGCGATTCAATTGAGGTCGTTGACGATGAGTTAATTGAAATCACTCCTCGCAATGACTCGACGTACCCAGACCTCCGCGCTGCCCTCTCAACTAAATCTTCTCAAACGAACTACGATAGTAAACGATAACTCCTAGCCCACCACGCCTCTACCAAACACCTTTCCCTACCTTCCATCCTTGCTTGAGACCTTCCTTCACAAATAGCAAAAACCATGCAAGCAATCCACATAACCGACTTCTCCGCCCCCCTCTCCTCCATCAGCCCACAAACGATCCCCATCCCACCACCCCCCAGCCCCAACGAAGCGCTGATAAGAATCCACTGCGCAGCCCTAAACCACGTCGATCTCCTCTACGCGCAGGGCAAGCACCAAAACAACACCTCTCTAATCCGGCCCCCTTTTACCCTCGGCCTCGAATTTTCTGGCACAATAATCGCCCTCGGCGAACCCGCGCCCACCACACCCCTTGCCCGCACGAGCAATCACGATACAGCAGACGAACACCCACTCCAAATCGGCGACAAAGTCTTCGGAGCCGGCCCGGGTGCCTTTGCAGAGCGCATTGTCGTCCCCGTCGGCTCTCTCCACCGCATCCCTCCAGGATGGGCGTTTAAAGACGCAGCTGGCCTCGCGGCTACGGCGTCAGTGGCATATGGGGCCGTTGTGATGCGTGGGGATGTGGGGGATGGGCAGTGGGTGCTAATTCATGGGGCGGCAGGAGGGGTTGGTGTTTATGCTTGCCAGATAGCTAAGGCGTGCGGGGCGAGGGTGATTGCAGGTGTGAGGAGCTTAGGGGATTCGGAGAAGGTGAGGATGCTTAGGGGCCTTGGATGTGTGGATGCGATTGTGGAGACGGGTGGGAAGGGAGATGGTGGTGAAAGTTGGATGAGCAACGTTAGGAAGATCACAGAGGGGAAGGGGGTGGATGTAGTCATTGATAATGTTGGGTTGGTTAAAGAGAGTTTGAGATGCTTGAGGCCTGTCGCTGGAAAGATTGTTCTCGTGGGGTTTGCAGGGAGAGAGGGTGTTATGGAGCAATTGTCTGTTAATCGGATTTTGTTGAGACAGGCGGTTGTGATAGGTTACGTGAGTTCTTCCTGCACAGCCTCCACTTCCTACCCCCCCCCCTTTTCAATTCCGGAGATATGGGGTTTACCTCAGACAGCTGACTGGGCGCATACGATAATAGCGATACGGGGAAACCAATCGCAGAAATCCTAATGAAACCAAACTGATATGGGATGGATTGATGAACCTCATAAAGTCTAATGCCGTCAAGCCAGTGACGTTTGAAAAGAGATACCGTGGGTTGAGTGAGGTGCGCAATGCCATGTCAGACCTACAGGCGCGGAAAATATATGGAAAGGCAGTGATATATGTTGATGAAAATGAAAGCGGCCGGGCTGCGCTATAACTACGAACTTACTCCGCCTTCATCCGCTTCGTTTCACCCTTTCGCTATTGCCCATTTTGAAAGGGAGATAACCATGATTTCCCGTTTGATTCCTACAAGCATAGTGAGTGAGATACTGCTCCAGAAGAGTGGCGATGTACTGTGCATGAACTGCACGAACTACTGTATATACAGTCACCAAAAGCAAACAAATGGATTTGGGCAATCCAGAGCCAAGAATTAAATCTTACAAGGTCTTTCGCCTTTTCTCAGAAGCTTTACCACAATCAAACTCTAGGATATTTAGTATTGGAAGTCACCTAAGAGCGACATAGCGCCGTTGGAAGGAAAAAGAAGTTAACAAAGGAAACACCAGGCTCCGAAAAGGGATGGAGACATAAAAGGAGGGGAGAATCATGCGCTTGAAACCCAAAGAAGAAAGCAGCAAGAATGGCTTTGCTTCTAATTTATTCCGACATCACCGGTCCAGGTTGGGTTTTCATACCTGGATACTATGTCATTCAAACATCGCTGCACATCCTTACATGACCATCTGCAACGAGGATACGGATCGAGCATTCCCTTTATACATCCAGTCAACTTTCTAAGGATATCCGTAGTACCACTCTCACTCTCATCTTTGAAGATCCCCGAACAATCAACCTTGGTTGCGAAGTCAGGTGGAAGTTTAGGCACGAGTCTGGAGGGCCTGCGCTGGTGTTGGTGGTCCTGCCGATGGTGCTTCATCCGCGGATTGGGTGAACAGGTCAGATCACAGAGCGTCATTTGGCGCTCCATTCGGGTCTCAAACTTATATAGTAGTTCAAAGAGGATGACACCAAGCGCGAAAACGTCTAGGCTTTCGTCGATGCTGAGGGCACTGCGTATCTTATTATGGTGTATCTCATTGTCACCGTGGCCACCGCCATTGTCATTGATTCCATGGTGTGTGCTGTGACCTGTGGTAGGGTATGAGGATGTGACGATGGGCGGTCGGTAGAATTCCGTGCCAACAGGACGGACATGGGTCCCTGTGGAACTACACAGAAGCCCTTTATCTTCATCCTGGCATTGGGATATTTCTGCAACGAGGCCGAAATCACCGATGCGAGGTGCCGTGTACCAAGTCCTTTCTGTACCAGCTTTCTTGCATGTTGGACATGGGCTGTCCTGCGCACCTGCTGGAGAAAGGAAAATGTTTGCAGGCTTTAGGTCCCGATGCACTATGCCAGTGGCATGCAGATACTCCACGCCAGCCAAGACTCCCAGAATGATTTTGAGAGAAGGAACTAGATGGTAGCAATGTTGCGGGGGTTTGGGACCTGGCGCGACGGGCTTCGCAGTCAGATATTTTGCCAGGCTCAAGGGATGTAGCGACATTTGTATATGCAACATAAGGACAGGGCCAGGTTTCACTAGGTCAATTTTCCGGCTGACATGGGCCATGGAGCCACTATGCCCCATCCCGTCAGAAAAAACATCATCATTTGTTTCACTCTCCGTTGTTGTGTGGCCAGGGGTTGGGAAGTCAAAATGGCGTGGAAGAGACTGGACTTCATCGTCTACGGTGTCACCTCTGCCACTTGATTTTTGATAAAATTTCTGCTTATCGCGTCGTGCGCCGGGAGTGTCGTGTGAGAGTTCACTCTCGTCAACTTCACTTTCACGATTTGTGGAAGAGTTCTCGAATACGATTCCGTGGCTGGAGTCCTCAAACACGATGCTAAAGTTTAATTCATCGTTTCGTGGTGATGACGATACGGGGCTCAGGAGTGGCTGTTGATTATCGTCCATCTCGCGATGACCAACTGGAAAGCTCGTAGGGGAAGTCTCGATAATTGGGCCACTGGGGCATTCAGCCCAAGCACCGAAATAACGCACAACATTTGGGTGCTCTAACCGAGCGAGCGTTCTAACCTCCTTCAGGATATGATCTAGACCTCTCAAACCACGTTCCTGCACTTGCCGCAGTCGTTTCTCTCCCAGCGGTATTTTTTTCACAGCATAAACTTGGCCATCAACGTGATGTCTCACGCGGTATACAGCACCATATGACCCTCTGCCAATCATTGCTTCCTCTTCAAACTCAATCGTATAGCGGGAAGTGGGGAAATTCATAGCTTGTGGATATAGAACAGGTAAGTTGATGGGAAGCTGCGGGAACGGAGTACGAGTATGCTTTACGAGATCCGCAATATTTGGCGGCATGGACTCATTGGGAGCTTCAGCATGGGCTTTGTCAGTAATACGTCTTTGAAGACTAGGGCGGGAAGCGCCACGTGGAGTGAAGTTCCTTATGTTTTCAAGATCGAGGCCTTCTAATCGCTTTTGAAGTTGCTCTGTATCTACCATTCCTGCAGCCTGTCTAACAGCTCCCCTCGATGATGGGCGAGGGGACCGGCCGCCCAAGTCCGCATCTCCTAAGGCAGCCATACCAAGCACATCCAGGTTATCTCTATAATACTGTCTCGTACTTTCCCAATCCTCCCCATCGACTCCCCCTGCAATAACACCATGATGAGACAAGAACTGCGACTTGTAGGCATACATATGCCTTCCTAAGAATTTCGCTTCAGGAGAATCTCGAGTATATGGTCCATGGGATCCTGGTTGCCCATTGAGGATGTCAGCAGCGCGACTGTTGCAATAGAATTCTAGGAGGGCGGCAGTCATCATAGCAGCCTGTCCTTCCGCATTGAGTTCGGGGATATCCCCCTGGTCAAGGCGATTACTTGTCTCAACTTGCTCATACTGAGACGTTCCGTATTCATGAGAACGGGTTGAAGCCTCGGCAGTATCGGTGCCTGTGTCTGTGGGAGCCTTTTGGGAGTGTCCCGGCCATTCGTCGGTCTCACCAGGGTCAAACTCCGGCAGAGGTTCGGAATCGGAAGACGAGATATCTTCCGGAGAACGAAATAGGGTAGACATTATGCGTCTGTGTTTTTCTGTATTTTTTGCACTCTTCTGGACTCGACGAGGAGATCGAATATTTAAAATGAGGTTTAACGAGGGATGGCAAGGAAACTCAAGCACAATGGGCAACAATCATTTCAGAAAGGAGTGTGTAGAATGGAAAAAAAAGAAAGACTGTATCATATTACTGTAAACAAAGGTAACGTGCGAAGTATAAACAGACATTACACACAATCAGAATGACAATGACATGTTTCTAGCAGCATTCTGTAAGTGATATTGGAGAATGCAGGAACTAGTGAACAGTGAAGTGAAAAAAAGAGGTCCCCTAGTGAATCTAAGCAGTTGGAAGTTTTGCGCTGGGGATTCTTGAATAACCAGGGTCAAAAGGGTTCAAAAACATGGATATTATGATATTTGAGCCTGTGAGTTTCGATCAGATTCCATTTGATATAGCTCGAAGGGCGCCGGTGGCTTGCCTCTCTGCCTGAGGGAGCTGCACAAATTAGTGGCTAGGATTCCACTATAAAAAGATAAAAGTCATCCCAGTAATAAACATGTTGGATCATGGCATATCGATACCCATTTGGTCGATATCAAATTGGAGCACAAGCACTGGAGGTTCAACTGAATGAGCCTCGCGCAAGTTGAGGCTGAAGAATCCGATAGTACCGACGTATTAACTAGACAGCGCAAGCTCCCCTTCCGATAACTACACTTAACTAGCTTAGGATATTTAAGCGAGTGACAAGAGCCAATAAACGCGAAATGAATAACAGTAACTTACGAATACTGCCTAATTAGGTAACTTAACTAACCAAATAGAAATACAGTGCAAAACCGCAGATGAGTCAGAATGACGCCAGAAAGGAAAACAAACGGCAAACTATTTACAATCTACTCCATCAAACTCTGCGCCATACTCCTTCACAAACTATGGGAAAGTATTTGCTGCCCTTGAAGAATACGTATTATCTTCCATTCCACCCACCACGCGGGGCGTAGCTCCGTAGTAGCAGGGCCTTCAGATAACAGAGGCGTCATTCGTAGCTCATGGAATATTCGCCAGCTTATCAGCCAATCCAAGCATTTGCATCGGCCATCGTAACAAGGGTCTCCAACTTACGCCTAAGGAGCGATAAATTGCTTCGAACAAGTGACTCGCCCAGCCTTGCGACCACCAGCACGAATCCAACCTGGAAAGGATGACACAGTAGTGCGCAAGAATCACCAGCGCCATGGGTTTTCGGGCCTTCAGATGCACAAGGTAGGCTTCGGGGAGAAGGATCGGCCAGCGAAAAACAGTCTCCAAGCTCGAAGCGGGTCGCTCAAACGAAATCCGAAGTTCGCGGATGGCATGATTATTCGCATCCTTTTCTTCAGCACTTAGCTGGGTTACATGTGCTCCATTGCAATCGTGCAAATAATCAAGTGCATTTATGACGTCTTTAGAAATCGGCTGTGGTATACCATCCGCAGGACGCCGGATCATTGGCCCCAGCTCCCCCTTCTGTATGAGCTCCCATGATGTACTTAGCACGCTCTCCACACCGCGAAATAGAAGGAAATCTTGAAGTAGCTCAGCAACGGGCTCGCCCCCACCCGGCCTGCCGACAAAACGAGAGAAAGCAAAGGCCAGCGCCGCGATGAGACTCGAGAACGCGAATACAGCGTTGCAGTTGGACGGGGTGATGTTATTCAGCACTGGCCGAAACGCTGCAAGGGCAAGATGCTGATGCATGGTGGCTAATTCGACATATTTTCGGAGGTTCGGGTCGTTATTGCTGCTGCACTCAATGAGGTGAAGTGCTGACAGAGATAAGAGTCCATGCATTAGAAAGGGGTGAGCAAGAGCTTCCTTGGGAATGACGGTTCTCCATATTTCGATATGTTCTGGGGTGTTTGATAGCGTCGTATACGTCTCCGTGGTGTAATGGTGCATAAGCTTCAAATCATCAATATGTAAATTCGATGTGAATTGGGGATTTCTGCTGTCAAAGGTGGTAAAGATTTCCAGCTGATCAACAGTTGACGAGGAAATTGGCGGCAGTGCTGAGGCGCCATTGACGATCGCCGGCCAACGGCCAGTTCTACCATTCAGGCGTACCGCCCCAGGAGGGGTCGCGAATTGGCATTCAATATTGTGCTTTTTGCAGTTGCCGCATGGCGGCGGAGCCTCGTCACACTGTTACATATGTAGAGTCAGATATCTTCGATGAAAGCTACAGTTGAGCCTAGACCTCTGTGCTATGATATTTACTCTTTTCGTTTCCATTTCAACTAGACCACGGTGAAAACACAAATAATCCAGGGAAACTTCGTAAATCGACTTGTCTTCTTACCTTTATCTTTCTTCTCTTGCACTGAATACATCCCAGGCGGGACTTGCGATGGCTTCTTCTTGGCGGCATTGTGAATACAGAAGCTTGTTATTATTTCCCTCGCTTCTGCATGCCAGTCAGATCATACGCGTAAATGTTCGTAGTAAAGCAAGCCACGGTGAAATTTCATAAAAGCCATGAACAACATCTAGGGCATGATCAGGGTTCCCTGGATCAAATCTTTAAACCAGGAAGGCTCAGCAGCACGCGTTCGCCTGGATACCCCGCTGAGCTCAGACTACCGGACAATAAAAAGGGACTAAACCATGCTAAGAAAAGGTCACCATAGGTAGAAAAATCCTTGTAAACAAATCAAACAAAGTAAATTATGCGTAATACGAGCTGCGCAGTGAAATTGGCAATATCTATGAGATCAAAAAAATGTCCGCCGAAAATCATTTTGTCAAGGCAAGACATGGAGCGCCAGAAGCCGCCACCAGCTCATGGTACGGGTACCCAAAAGTATCCACATGCAACTATCCGCAGGTGTGATACCCAGCTGGTGGGTATGTACTCCGTACAGTACATGTATGTATGTACTGTACGGAGTACATGTACGTACATTACATAGTTACATAGTGTCGGCCCCATCCTCACATGGCTGATATATCGTAGTCGAGTTTACTGCAGTTTCACACCTTGCTTCAGAAAACACGGAAATATCCTGTTGAGCTCCTGTTACCATTATCGAAAGCTTCAAGCTATGAGCATGCACATTTTTGTCCTGATAGTTATTTGGGTCTGTTTTGTCGCCACGCTCACTCGGGAGCAACACTTGCCTGGAGGAAATCTATCAAACAAAGCGCAGGCTCCGTAACTATTCCTGCTGTTAATGGGACTTCAAACTTTCACCGCGACCCAGTTGCGGTTTTTGCCGGGTCCTTATGTGTGTCAGAATTTGTTGCGATCCCGGCACAGGAACGTATTCCAGGATTTCTGTGGCGGCGCGTTGACGAATTCCTGAGGAATGCGTGTTCAGCTTGAGCTCGATGCGCTCGAATGGCACCAATATAACCTCTAACTACAAATACCTCAATGGTTGACCGCCCTAGTTGCCATTAGCCCCAAAGCATGTCTTGTGTTATTGGCTACCGCAATTGCGACGCAGCAGAACACATTCTCTTTGGCTGCTCGGGTCCTTCCGGTGTAAGGGACCTGATGAATTACTGGCTCCACAACACCTTCATGACGGAAGGGACGAAATGTAAAGGAGTGCAGGATGATTCTTTTGTACATGCCTATTGAGGCATGGACCCCGGGTAGGAGGATCACAAAGTGTCAGAAATTAAGACACACTTGAAGACAGCCATGCCTTTGTCATATGGAATCGCCCTATTCAATGCGGCGGCTAATTACGGCTCGGAAAAGGAATCTACTGTTGGTTTTTTTTATAAGATGACTATCATTGAACTCGGGTGCTACCTCATGGTTATCTAACTTGAGAGGTCAGATTTTTGAAACTTTAACAGGTTTAATTTCACAAGTCCCAGCGCAAAGTTTCGATCAAGAAGTAGCCTACATCCTCGGAAAGCCATACCCATGCAAGCCCTCTAAAAGTATGGTTTCCCCGGATTTCCTAGTCTCAGACACGCATGGCAAGTTGTTGTCAGCAGGGAAGCACCCCCAGTCAAAACCCAGGGATCTGGGGAATGACAGTTGGTTCTCCAAACAGTTAAGTTACCCGAGTATTTGGAGGTCGCGTTTTTATGTACTGTACAACGTGTGACCATAAAAACTCAACCTGAAAAGACAAATGTTTGCTTAAATTGCTGCGAACTTGAGATTATAAGTGTACCGTACCTCAGTGCGATATGTCTCATCGGTGTTTGAGGTCGGGCAGTTGTCTTCTTTTGGATTGAGAATATATACCTCGTTATTTCATATCATTTGGAGCTCGATATGCTTTTGGGGCCGAGTAGCTCTGGATTATCCCGCCAACCCCCGTTCGAAAACTTCTACGATTGCTTCGACCTCCTCTATGTTATAAACACACATCCGAGATAAATAGCTCTCATGGCTCTGAGTTTTTCACTTGATCCGCTTGTGATACCTTACTGACATAATTTTATAGCTCCCCGACAAGGTCGGCGTTAGGTACAGCTTTGAAGTCCAGAATTCTGTAATTGTCGTTCTTGTTCACCAGATATCCATCCTTCTGACATATCTGTCCTACTCTGTTGGAGGGCTGGTTCAATTTTATAAACGCTTTGCCGTGGTTGACCAATCTCACTAACTTAATGACATCAACTCATGTGCACAATGTGACATGGTTTGTTGGGTTTGGTTTGTCTATCTCCAATTTTGAGACCCTCTCACTTATCTCTAGTGCTCAGTGGTGCCCTGCGCTTGACCTGCAGGTTGACCTACGCCAATTTCGTATCTTGCACTTTTTGTACCCCAACCCCCAACGAGATAGACACATTATTCCTCCTGTAAAACGCAGGCCGTTGAGGGTTCGACGGCTTTGCTAGCAATTATCTCATGACGCCAGTGTGAATTCATGTGTCCAGTACACGGCTCTGCTTAAGCTCGTTGCTTGGTCATCGGTCTGATCCCTCCCCCCCCCCCCCCCCTCTCTCTCTCCTCCTCCTCTTCCTCTTCTTCCTCAGCGTTTTTTTTTTTTTTTTTTTTTTTTTTTTTTTTTTTTTTTGGTTGTGTTCGATCTGCTAAATAATAACGAGCTTTTTATCACAGGTGCCTCTTTCTTCGACGATTGGCAGTTCTACGGCACGTTCTATTGCGCGCAAATATTGTGCTAAACATCACAGCCCATTCATGGCCACCCCTCCACTCACCTCTCATGTCTTAGGTTAACACGGGATCAAACTATCTGCATTCTAGTGTGAAGTGCAATCTTCCTCACTGGGTCAAGACTCTCTGGATCAGTCTCGTATCATGTGGTCGATCTCATTAGCATTTTCTCTCGCATCGAGTTTGATATCCTACATAATTAGCCATCACGAAATTATTTTCGTTTTTCAGATGGAGATGGTTATTTAGTCTATAACTACTGTCTTGTGAGACGTTGCAGAATTGCTCCCCTCATTTTGCCCGCCATGATCGAATTAAATTGACGTTCTGGATACCATTGGTGTCACAGGCATCCCCAAGGGGTACGCAAAGGCCTCTGTCTTGAAGAATATCTCCATTTACGGCCTTTTATCTCACGACAAGATGCTCTAAATCTTGCAAAGTTGAAGTTGGAGCTATGTCCTTGACACATTATCAAGCTAGTTTCTGTTTGATAACGCCAATTGGTATTCGATCCAGCTCAAAAAAAACGTGCTCATTTATTTGGGATTGCTATGATTAACAATAGCCCGACGCACTTCATATTTATATCCTACATCACTCCCAACTTCCCTGCCTCTTGGATCAGTCGTTCCCATTCATTGTAATGTGTTTTTATATATGATTCGAGTCTTCTATTATACATTACCTTTGTACTAACTATCAAGCCTATTCCATATTTGTCCACAGATTTGTATACGGAGAATTTCAAGTTTTTACCACCAATCATGAAGCAACATGTTCTGGCGTCTCTCTTCTGCTTTTGCAGTATTTTGATAATTGGAGCACTGGGAGGGTCTGACACAGCGAACAGAAAGAGACGGGAGTTTATTGACAGCGGAGCACGCCTTCTTCAGCTGCAAAGCAAGGAAACCACCACCTGTATGAGGCACTTAGAGGACGACGAGATACTCGCCACGATGAAAAGGCGGGAGGGTGTAACAATGACTACGGTGACGGTAGTGGTCATCGGGATGATGACCGTGGGGAAATATGTCGCCATCAATGTACGCCAGGTAAATTAACTATTAGGAAGGAGTGGTGAGTTGACATTCTTCCCTCCGAAACTACATACACACCAATTTAACTCACTGGCGCTTCTTATATAGGCGATTCTTGTCCAAGGCAGAAAGACGGAAATATATTGACGCTGTGTATTGCCTCCAGTCGAAACCATCATTATTTACACAGCAAGAAGCACCTGGCTCTAAAAATCTTTTTGACTCGTTCGCAGCTGTCCATATTAACAAAACCCCATTCATCCATGGAACTGTATGTTTTTGATATATATGCGTCCCTCTCATATTTTACCCAAGCGCTTATGCTGTCTAGTTCAACTTCCTCGCCTGGCACCGATACTTCGTCTGGGCATACGAGAAGGCTCTTAGAGAAGAATGTGGATATCATGGGGCTAGTCCGTAAGAATCCCTCAATCCAGCCTAACTTGTGGCCTGTTGTGAATATATACTCATGTTTTAACCCATTCAAAAGTTATTGGGAGTGGGGATACGATGTCCATGATCCGGAAAAATCTGCAGTGTTTGACGGTTCGGCCTATAGCTTGGGGAGTAATGGTGCTCCATTAGCAGATAGGGCACCAACATACCGTCCGGCTCCTCCTCCGCCCTTGCCACAAACTGAGGGTCACGATTTTCCGGCTGGAACTGGAGGAGGATGCGTTATGTACGGTCCGTTTTCAGACTTAACCACCAATCTAGGCCCAGTTGCTATGCCCGGAGGTGACCTAAATAATCCATTGCGATACAATCCCAGATGTTTGATGCGTGATATGAACGCCCTCATAGGCCAGCACTACACTGCTTTCAACTGGTCGACGTGGACTATTGAAGAGAGTAAGGACATAGATGGGTTTCAATCTCGTCTCGCTGGGCTACCGGGCAATCAAGGCTCGAAACATGATCCGCTGAATTTCTTTGGGGTGCATGGTGGTGGACATCTCTTTTTGGGTGGGATGACTGGCCAACGTATGTATACTCAGCATAAATAGCGAATTTTGTATATACCCTCCTGTGGTGTACAGGTAGCACCTAACCATTGACTCGCACTTATGATGTCCGAGACAAACTAATGCTTTTCGTTGCGTCCAGATTCGGATTTTTATTCCAGCCCCCAAGAGCCAGCTTTCTTCCTACACCATGGCCAGATCGATCGTCTCTGGTCCATCTGGCAATGGCTAGATATTAAGGAACGACGGGATGCAATTTATGGCACACTTACGCTAGCCAATATACCTCCTACCAGAAATGGAACTTTAGACGACATCATCGACGTGGGTCCGCTTGCACCGCCAGTGTCTGTGCGAGAGGTTATGAGCACAATTGATGGACCGTTTTGTTACTTTTATGAATGATCCCAAGATCACCCTACGGTCTTCGGATTTTCGTGGTTTTTGTTATTTTCACCGACTATATATGATCTCTAATTGACATTTATTCCTTTTATTCTTCAGATTATTAGGGTTGGCCGCATCTAAGTGAGCTCACGAGCTGGTTGGTTGAACACACTTGCCAGTGTGGCTGCTTGAATAAACGCCTTTCTGGCTACTGTTTGAGATGTAGAATAATTGTATAAGTACTTCTCAGCATAATTATGAATTTTTTGTCTCGTTTTGAATACAATACATTAATTTTTATATCTCTGCACCCGGAACGCGCAGAATACAATCACGTGATTTAAACTCACGCGTCTGCTGGCGTCCTTAATTGGTTCACAACGTCACGTAATTGGGCGGCTCGCAGTTTCCGGCACGCGTACTCCGTGCAGAAAGCGACAACGACCTTCACATCATCCCCAGAAAAAACAGACATATGTCAACGAATCTGTTTCTCGATATGCCCCAGGAAACCATTGTATAATTACAATTAACTCAACTATGCTAAAACCCCCACAAAAACGAGTCCTTGGCGACGCTACACTCAGCCGTCACAATGTACTGCCGAAGTCGCCCAGTACCGCAAAGAAGCGGAAGCTCGAAACCGACCAGCCAGCTATTGGCATTAAACCGTCTTCACAGACTGGCAACCGGAAGCTAATATCCTCAGGCCCTCGTCAATCGCAGAAGAAAAGCCAGTTCGAGGAGGAAGTCTTGGAGAAATTGACACAGGACATTTCAGGACTGAAGGAGAGCAACTCGGAAAAAGACCAGCAGTGGGCTCGACCAAGTTTAGATAATTTTGATGCAGCGCGAGACACTCTTTGCTTCCAGCAAATTGAAGTGGAGGAAGGGACGCTAGGAGGTGGAAAGCCTGCGGTGAAGCTTTTCGGGGTTACTGAGGTAGGTTTGCTCATTCATCCAATAATAGGTATCTAGTTGCTTTATCGATTTGGTTCATCCTAACGAGATCATTTTCTTCTCATCTAGGCTGGCCATTCGGTTCTCTTACATGTTACCCATTTTCTACACTATCTCTATGTGGCTGCTCCTGTCTCATTTGCTCCAACAGACTGTGAAGGATTTAAGGCGTATCTTGAAAAGGAAATCGATCTTCATCAGCCAGCTTTACATTCAGTACAGATGGTAATGAGAGAAAACCTTTTCGGATTTCAGGGAAACCAGAAAAGTCCCTACTTGAAAATCACAGTGACAGATCCGCGACATATCAACAAATTGCGAACGCTGATTGAAACCGGCCAGGCGAATTATAAAGGCATGTGGAGAGGTAATGATGATGGGATTTTGACCTTTGATAATATAGAATATATTTTACGGTTTATGATTGATACAGGGGTAAGAATTTCTTTGTTGACTTAAGCTTCCTCCTACCCCTTTGCACCTGCTTGCCTCGGCTAATCAATTTTTGAAGATATCGGGCATGTCTTGGGTCGAGGCGCCGGCTTCCAAATACCACATGCTCCCAATGAACGAAAGGTTGTCGAATTGCCAAATAGAAGCTACGATTCATTACCGTGATCTTATTGCTCATCCCAACGATGGCGAATGGGCAAAAATGGCACCGCTCCGAATCCTTTCCTTCGATATAGAGTGCGCTGGTCGCAAGGGTGTGTTTCCTGAGGCCAACCAAGACCCGGTAATTCAAATCGCGAATGTCGTTACACGTTATGGGGAGTCAAAGCCATTCGTTCGAAATGTGTTCGTCTTGGACACATGTAGCTTAATTGTCAATACCCAACTTTTCGAGTTTGACGCAGAGGAAAAAATGCTGATGGCCTGGAGAGACTTCTTGGAGGAGGTTGATCCGGACGTTATCATCGGATACAATATTGCTAATTTCGATTTCCCCTACCTTCTTAAACGAGCGGAACATCTCAAATGCTCAGGATTCCACTTCTGGTCCAGACTGAAGCATATCGCTTCACGGGTAGGGGACGCAAGATTTTCTAGCAAGCAAATAGGCAACCGGGAGTCCAAATCTACGAATATCAGCGGCAGAATTCAACTCGATCTCCTGCAACTTATTCAGCGGGACTATCAGCTGCGAAGCTACACTCTAAATTCAGTATGTGCGCAGTTTTTAGGAGAACAAAAGGAGGATGTCCATCACACTATGATTACAGAACTTTTTAATGGAACGCCGGACTCGCGGCGACGGTTGGCTGTTTACTGCTTGAAGGATGCATACTTACCTCAGCGACTGATGGATAAACTTATGTGTCTTGTCAACTATACTGAAATGGCAAGAGTCACTGGCGTACCTTTCAACTTCCTGCTTTCCCGCGGACAGCAAGTCAAGTTTCTTAGCCAACTGTTCCGCAAGGCTCTCGAACAACAATTGGTTATTCCCAATTTACGGAACGAGTCGACTAGCGAACAGTACGAAGGAGCCACCGTCATCGAGCCTATTAGAGATTATTACGATGTTCCGATAGCAACCCTTGATTTCGCATCCCTATATCCTAGTATTATTCAAGCACACAACCTGTGCTACACGACTCTTCTAAAGAAGTCAACCATCGACACACACCAAATGAAGGAAGGAGAAGACTATATCGTGACTCCAAACGGGGATAGGTTCTGCACCTCAAAAGTCCGCAAAGGGCTCCTGACTCAGATCTTAGAAGAACTTCTTGGTGCAAGAAAACGCGCAAAGAAGGAGCTTGCTGTGGAAACGGACCCTTTCAAAAAGGCTGTCTTGAACGGACGACAACTTGCTCTTAAAATCAGTGCGAACAGCGTTTACGGCCTGACTGGTGCTACTGTTGGCAGACTACCCTGTTTGCCTATCGCCAGTAGCACGACTAGTTACGGCCGCCAGATGATTGAGAAAACTAAGGAAGAGGTAGAGGCTAAATTCACCATCGCCAATGGGTATTCTCACGATGCTAAGGTCGTGTATGGTGATACTGACTCCGTCATGGTTAAATTTGGAATGCAAGACCTTGCTGAAGCAATGAAGCTTGGGCGGGAGGCAGCTGATTTTGTTTCAGCTAAGTTCATTAAGCCGATTAAATTGGAGTTCGAGAAGGTGTATTTCCCATATCTCCTCATCAACAAGAAACGCTACGCAGGTCTCTATTGGACGAGACCAGACAAGTATGATAAAATGGATACCAAGGGCATTGAAACCGTTCGCCGAGACAACTGCCGTATGGTACAGACAGTTATCGAAACTGTCCTTAGGAAAATCCTCATTGATCGAGATGTCGGCGCTGCCCAAAGGTATGTTTTCTAGATTTATTTCCCTTTACTTCCCTTTGCGCTGCTCTATTGACATTTCATTTCCCCCCTCCCCAATAGTTACGTGAAGGATACGATCTCTGATCTCCTTCAAAACAAAATCGACATGTCTAAACTTGTGATCACGAAAGCCCTCTCTAAAAAGGATTATACTGCGAAACAAGCTCATGTCGAGCTAGCAGAGAGGATGAAGAAGCGTGACGCCGGTTCTGCCCCAACGCTCGGCGACCGAGTTGCATATGTCATTGTTAAAGGTGCTGGAGGTTCAAAAAATTATGAAAAATCGGAAGACCCGATCTACGTACTAGAAAACAATATTCCAATAGACACGAAGTACTACCTTGATAATCAGCTCGCCAAGCCCCTCACGCGAATCTTCGAGCCCATCCTTGGCGAGAAGAAGGCCGGCCAGTTGCTCACCGGGGAGCACACTCGATCCATCTCCGTCGCGGCCCCGACGCTGGGCGGCCTGATGAAATTCACCAAGAAAACACAAACGTGTATGGGTTGTAAGAAGCCCCTTACTGGGAAAGAAGGCGCCGAGGGCGCTGTTTGTGAGAACTGTCGCCCACGCCTCGGCGAGCTCTACACTAAAACCCTTACGAGAGTGTCTGATCTGGAAGTGCGGTTTGGCCGCCTGTGGACGCAGTGTCAGCGATGTCAGGGCAGTTTGCATTGTGAGGTTATCTGCTCGAGCAGGGACTGCCCGATATTCTACATGCGGATGAAGGCGAAGAAGGATGTTGAGGACGCTGAGAAGGAGTTGGCACGCTTTGATCACGATCTGGGGGCCTGGTAGGTGAGTGGGATATAGGTAATATGTTATCTCTCTATTCATCGGTCACTTGAATTTATGCTGGCATTACATCGGGAATAAATCATCCTGGATTGGCTTGCTTGGTTTTACGACATGTACGCATTGTGTAAAATGTGAAGGGATCCTGGCTTTTTGCGTCTATATTTTTGTTTATTGTTTTTATGAGCATTGTGGCAGGCATATGCTGCATGTACGTCTACTAATGGTAATGGTATTTTATATATTCTCTCTTGAATATTTTCTTTTCTTGCCTGTTCTTGTCCATATTCATCTTTGATGACGGCCAAATAGTTAGCTATCTGTACCTCATGTTCTTGGCACGGTCGGGCCCTTCTCCCCTCCTTCAAAATTTCTGTACCATCACTCTCTCGCTCCTTATTTTTTATCTCCCAACTCCTCATTCTGGGCTGTTACCCTTCTTGGCTACGTATCTACCGCAGGTACGTACACCTATAAAAAGCACCAATAACCTTATCCCATGCATCGCAGTTACCTGCGAAAATGACGACATTTTTGGCCTGTCAGCGTGAAGCTGTTTACTAGCTTTCTACTTCTGCGACATCCTATTTTATCCATTCTAAATATACTTACAGTTTTCGAAACGCATCCACCTCCAGATAGTTTCTATGAACTTAAATATCCCACATGCGAAAACTTTACGACAGAGTTCGTGGTTTTGGCTACAAAAGTAGTAGAAAAGAAAAGTTAAAATAAATTTGCTAGATGAAATTCAAGATTTTTGAATACATCTGTGAGACAGCCTTGAGAAGAGAGTTTCATATGCTCCGTCCTCTACTTAGTCGAGTCGTACTATGCTTGTAAATGAACAACTAACGTGAACAGACGAAATACATGCGACACAAATATGAGAAACCAAGATAGCAATCCACCTTACTTTCCTCGGGTAAAGTACTATCAAGTTACTTGTCCCCTGTTCGCAATTATAGGGAAGATAAAATATTTGGCAATGTGTGCACGGAGGAGAGAAATTCAACGGAGGTGCTTAGATACAATTCTGCTTGTTCGAGGAGGTAGATAATTAATGTTCTCTCCCGAGAAATGGCCGAAATGGCCTAAATAATGCAGAAACCCCAGCAACCAATATTCTGCTCATTGGCGATCTGGTGAGGCCCCATGAAGGCAAGGCTAGTCAACTGTTGCAGTGTTCACTATTTGAGCTGTGATCCTCTTGCAAGTTGTTCAATTTCATCCAGAGTCGGTCCCTGAGCTGGCCCAGGTTGGTTCTCAAGAAACGAAATACTGGCCGCTCATTGGCCAGCGCAACGTCACCCTAACTTCAATCGTGAATCAGATTCGAGCTTCACAAAGCACTGCCAGCAATATCTTCATAGCAGATGCGAATCCACTTAATGTTAATAATTCATCAGTTATTCGCCCATAGCAAAATGCCGGAATTACAGAATCCGCGGTCGGATGATCATTCAGTATCATGGCCAGAGGTAAGCCGAGTTTTCACAGCTGTGTAGGGCGCTGCATACCAGTGACGATGTATTTAATCGTTTTGCTGACAACATACTATTTCTCCTCACTTTCTAGATATTTTCGCAGCACCAGTCAAATCTGAATCGACACCTTCAAATATGTGGCATGGTTAAGCAACATGTCGTTCCAGAAAGTCCATCATTCCGCGCCATTTCTTCCATGTTGAATCGAACTCAAGAGCTGCTCAAACAGCTAGAGGAACTCAGAAGTGAATTTGTAATTTCCACCACTCTCACCCTTGACCTAGAACGATATCATTTTGCGCATTTTGACTTACAGATTTCTATTAGATGCCTCAGCATAATGCAACCAGGTTCCTCTCAGGCAAATGTGTGGATAGGGTCGATGAGCAAAGGGCAATGAATAGAGGTGCAGAATCTGTGGGCCAGGGTCCTGCAACCTCACTTCCATCTTCACAAAGCGGAAGCAATCAACATCCCAGTGATGGAGCAAGCGCGACTGGGACACCGGTCCCACTTTTTGTGTTTGACAAGACACCCACTCCCATTTCCCTCCCTCAGCGTCCACGAGGTAGGACCAAACGCTCACTAGACGACGAAAGCAGAGCTGAAGATAATGGCGAAGCCATAACTGCCTTACCTAAAAGAAAGCGGCAGAAGTTTTTCTCAATCGAGAATGGCGACAATACGTCTGCAAGTACTTCATCCCGCTTCGTCGAAACTGAAGATATTTCGGCGGAGGTTGAAGCGCGACTCAAGGCAAAAGAAGAAAGCCGACGACGTATGGCGGAGGATCGGGAGAGGAAGAGGAAAAGGAATAGCTCGGGGTCGAACTCTGGGGGGCTTGGTGCCGAAAGCTCATCACAACAGCCGACGAAACGTTTCAGGGCATATCATGGCACTGAACGGGAAGAACTTTCCGGCCCTTGTCCAACAGATGGCAATGTAACAAAACGCGAGAAAAGGAGAGCCGTTGGCAACGTTCATGAGATGGTCAAAATCAACGGGGAAAGACATGGTGCAACAATGTACAAAAAGCTGAAGAAGTCATGACCCTAGTTTAGTATTAGGATAAGTACAGTGACGTATATTATTCTGATACTTGTCTATACTATATTGGACTCTCTCCGTCATCTTTCTGTCCTGAGCTTGGTATACATGGTGGCATTCTTCTGGTCATTCCGTGATGAAGAACTGCCCGATGAGGCTGTTTCCTATTTGGCCTCTTTTGAGTTCATGCCATTCCGCTCTCGTTTCGCTCCTCCTACGGGAAAGGCGCTCCGTCCGTCGTGCCTTCTTTCCCTTCTCAGTCTAGCTTCCAAACAACCAGGAAAGAGTTATGAGCATCCGTGGACCCGGAGAACTGTGTAGTGCAGGTCGCTCTTACTCCGCAATGCTTATTCCAGTTTTGCCCCAGGATTGCCCCAGGATTGCCCCGGTTGGGACCGTTGAAGCCGTTGAAGCCGTTGAAGCCGTTGCTCCGTGAAGGTAAACCGGTGAACTCTATCAATCGCCATTCTTCGACCACTGGTTCTCTTTGCTTTCGGCCATTCCTACGGCAATTATGGCGAGTGATGATACATTTTTATGATTTTAACTAATATCCAGGAGGCGATCAAGATGAGCACTCTTCTTATTTGGAAGTCGCTCGAAAGAGCTTGCGGGGGACAAAGTCCCAACAATCTTTCCAGTCTCTGCTATAAAATACCCTCCCACCCCCGGTGCTTTCCTTCCTACATCTTCCCTGCAACCCCCGTCCGTCGTTCGTTCATCCGCTCTCTGGTTACATATATCGGTCCTTCGTATATATCATTTCTGGCTTCTTCCAAGCCTACTTGAGTTTACTTACTCTTCTCTCTGTGAGAGCCCTCATCGCATATTTTGCCCTTTTTCCTGTAAAAAGGGTGGCTCAAAGCCCACCTTACAATCACTTTTTTTTCCTACCTCTTTGAACCTCGATATACTGATCCCACCGCTATCTTCCTCTTTATTTCCGGTTATCTTCTGGCCCCTCGTCATATATTGTCTCTATATCATAATCTGAGCAAGAAATACTTTGCGACATTCACCTCAGCTTTTACTATACCATTTGCTCAACTTAGCCTATATATCTGGAAGCAGCAATACTATTCAAAGCTCCTACGAGCTTGGTGATCATTCCGAAGTCTATAACGACCAGTCGTTCGTAACAACCGATCAAATACTCGAGCAGTCTATCAAATATAGACGAGTGCGACTACGTACCTGATATCCTCGGGTATTCTGGACCCTCGACGAAAACCCTAACAAGCTACTTGATTCATCCGGAAGCTTCAAAGGATCTTAAGCAGCCTATCGAGCTCCTGACGATAGAACCGTCATACGAAGGGAGACATTTGTGAACGGATTTTTTTTTTCAATTATCTAAAATGTCACCTCAAAACAACAAAGCCAGCCAAAGCAACAATTTTAAGAGTATCTCAGAAGGTATGTGTTCCCATTTAGGCAAAGCTACGCTCATGATATTGTTGACAGTGAAACTAACACCCCTTGATTTAGACGCTCTTATGGAGGCTACCGTGGGGTAAATATAAGCCCTTATATGCATTATTTTCTCTTTAGTTGGTCGCGGCCTGATCAGCATTCTTCGTCTCTGCAGCAGTGATACATTTGGTATTCCTCCCAGAGACGATCTGCCGAAACCAACCGAAAGCATGGATATGGACGGGGTTGGGGAAACGGGCCATTATGGCTGGGAGGATATTGGCCTCAAGGATACAATTTTCGAAACCATAAACGACGAAGACAGTTTATTCAATATGTCATTTAATCCTCCACTTACTGTCAAGGAGAGATACCGACAAGCATGCCTGAATACACTGTACAGAGAACCTCGCCCCGTCACCATCATTATTGACCTCGCTACAGAGAACGATACGAATCATGCAGAAACAGTCAACACTACGAACGTGACAAATGGGACAAGAATAGCATTACCTATTCGTCAAAGCCCCCCACGGGGGTCAAGTCTATCAAGGTCCCCTCCAAAAAAGGCTGGTCATCAGACAAGTAATTCCATTCGACAAATTTCTCCGAATCGTTCGCCAGATGGGGAAAATGGTCGGAAGAGCCAGCAACCTCGTTCCAATTCCAACGAAGGCCGAATCAAAAAGCAATATAAAAACTCGCTTACGGCATCGTTTAAAGAATTTACGAGGCAACAACTCCAACAAAGCCCAGACGCATTTAAAGGCGAGTGGTACAAAACGCAGGACGCGACACCCACCAAACGCATTAGTTATGTTAAGTTTTTGAAGAACGGCAGCAACGCTAGCGGACACAACTAAACTGGAATGAACCCTATGATGCATTATGTTTATATTTTAAGTTTTGTTATCATTCGCTGTGTTTGCATCCGCCGATTCATCTTCTTGTCTACGTGTGAAAATTGGATTCTGGCAGGAGCTGGGCTTGGAGACAAATTGAGAAATTTTCGAACTCTCTTACAAATTTTATTTGTCTTGCTGTTTGTATGTTCGCATGTTCGCATGTCTGCATGTCTGCATGTCCGCATGTTTTCATATTAAGTCTTTTCTGCATTGCGATTGTTTTGTACAATACCCACATACATGGTTTGAGAAATTTGGATAACTTGGGAAATTCCTTCTTTTTCACCCCTTACTTCGGGTGATTTCTAGAATGGACCTGTTACTTTGCTCTTCATACGGAATGCTGGTACTGTTGTTCAAAGGTTTTTATCAAAGAAGTGAATAATACAAGTGTTTTGTTTTTTTCCCTTCTACGGATGGTATGAGAGTAAATAAAGACGCATGAACATGAAATGGAAAGAAAGTGATCCAACTAGTTCTACCGTAGATTGAAGGCTATCCCCAGTCGACTCCCACGCACTCTCCCGGTACCAGTGGAGGTGAGGTTGTATGTAGTTTTCATCCAGGTGTAGCATCTCCTTTTCACTCCAGCTCCTTTACTACAACACCAAACAGCCATGTTTCCAGGTTGGGGAGATGAACAAAAGACGAATAGAGCCGCCAGAAGACACATCATTAGTAGCATTAGACACGTAGGCGCAGCGAAACAGTTGCTGGAGGTGACTGCGAATGAACCGCGGAATCCCCGCTGCGTCGCAATTTCGTCAACGTGATACAGCCGCCGGGGAAGCGGAATGGTGTATATTGTACGTCGGCAATTTTCATCTTCATCCCTCAACGTGATGGTTGAGACTCAAGAGTCATCGCGGTGGTGTAATCGGGAACATGGCCCGCCATCCAGCACAATCCCTGTCGGACCAACACTGCGAGATAACATGAAGGTTAAGGGTAAAGAAGCTCACATTCCATAACGAAATGGAAAAACCTCAACTCCGCTGACTCCCCCCCTCCACCTCTCCCCCGTTTTGCTTCTCAACCCCCTCTTCGCCTGCCTCATCATCCTTCTGGCCCCAATTTATCACATCCCAAATATGTTCCTTGATCAAATCGCCATAACCCTTTCCCTCCTCCAGCGCCTTCAGTTCTTCCCTGCGTCTCCGTTCCTTCCACCCTTCTCTTTCCCCACCCATCCACACCTTTTTCACAATATTCATCTCCTTCTCCTTCTCCTGCCTCCGCTTCAACCTCTCCAGCTCCTCCCCTACAATTTTCCCTTCCCGAATCTCAGCGTCCCGCGCAGCCCGCAGCTGCGCCTGCATCGCCTCCGCCTGTGGCGTAGGCAGGTCGCGGAACACATTTGGCCGGTTCTCGCCGACCGTCCGTGACCGGATGTGCCCGACTATACTGCTACCTGTGTGTACGGAGGAGAGGCGGTTTGCGGAGACCAGGAAGGCAGCACCAAGACTGAACGTATAGAAGTCTAGTTTACGGGGCGGAAGAGCGATGAAGACGGGAGCTGCAAAGAGGAAGGTGTAGGATGCAAAGTTCTTGAACTTTTCGAAGTCGGCGGCGCGATCGCGGGCGGGAAGGGTTGCTATGGTTGTACTGGAGGATGATTGGGGAGTGGAAGGCTCGGCGGCCGCCATGGTTACAATTCAGGAGGGGGTGTGTTTTTCTCTTTCTTATGTAGAGTCCAGGACAGGTAAAGTCCCTGACGTAGCCAGGTATGGTATTCCTTTTATGTTTCAATTGAGGCTGACGGCCGTTTTACTTTTGTCTGATAGTGGGTTGCTTCGTGGAAACGGTATCTTGCGGGCAGGATTTTATTGCGAATAGAGAGAAATTTTGATAGGTAGACGTATAGTTAATAAATAGGTATTCATATAGTCTTAATTGATAGAGCTAGTCTTTAAATAAATTAAAAAGTATACTGGTTGGGAGGATACAGAATATTGATTTATTCATCATCCTGAGCTTCAAAGCCTCAAACCTCTTTTGCGGGTGTGGTGTAGATTGCCTAAAAGGGCATAGGCCGAAAACCCATAGTATTTATTAAACCACTGCAAACGACAAAAATCTCAATTTTCTGGTTAACGTTCTCTGAGTAACCCGCTGATATACGATGAAGTGATCTAATAAACAGACGTTAACCTCCAAAATATATATGAAAACAACTGGTTTACAGCCAACTATGCTGTTCATTATCTCTCCAATTACCCCTCCCTGGCTAATAATAAGAAATATTAAGCATCGGGATAGCAAGTCACTATTCTTGAATTATCGTCAGCCATGCAACAACGCCAAAAATCTCGCAATATAACATTCTGTTTACTATCCCCTCGTCATGTTCATCAATATCTTTCCCGCCAACCAATGTGGTTTCCCTTCTCCCGTAGCGTTACTATTCATTGCCTAAGCTACACATAAGAAAGAAGAGAATGGATAACAAGAACCATCTGGCGAACGATGCGCGCCGATGTCTAAGTTCCGATATCACAAGCATACTTGTCTAAGGTCTATCTCCCTACCACCTAACATTCTTCAAATCAATTCCAGTTTGAGATGGCGCCACCGTCCTATATATTATAGAGCCATCCTCATTCTCCCCGGCTGGCTCGATGAGCCCGGCGGAAACTTCATCCAGGATGCGGGCATAGTTTTCGTCCTTGTTGACTTTACAGCGCACTGTGGCGGATTCGCAGTGCGCTGTTAATGCTGTACTAGATTTAAACATGCGCAAACAACCAGGACAGCTAATGAGATGGATGACATATTAGTTTCAGGGACTAACTCTGGGAGAAGCGAAGGCGCAGGAGCGGAAAATGTTCGATATAGAAGGAACAAGACACAACTAAATACGGGGATAGGTTTATAAGGGGAAGCTTTCATACCGGAAGACACCACCCATATGGATTCCAGACTTAATATGGCCCTCAAAATCCTTCTCGCTGTCAAATAACTTATCGCATACACATACCCACTTCCCCATAGCGGGACTGAAGAACTTAGAAGGGCTCCACGGTTCCTGTTGGCGTTTCTCAACAGTTTCACTTTCCCGAGGCATGGGCGATGGGGCAAACCTGCTTTCCCAGGTTCCCCAAGTGTTGTCAGATGCCTTTGACGCCGTCTCATCGAGGTCAATCAGAGGGGTATGTTTTCCCGTCGGGGATGTCGGTGGACCGCTGTTATTTGCGCGGAAACGGCTTCTAACCTCCCGATCATCACGGCCATATGCCGCGTCAGAATATGCCATGAAGACTTGCTCCTCTGAGCCTATCTCCACCTCTTTCTCTTCCCCGGGGGCTGGCCAGAGACTCATTCCGCGAAGCTGCATCGAGACAGAGGTGGCGTCATATCCACTGCTGCCTGTGGTCCCGGGTTTACTTCTCTCACCCGACGTGGGCACCGTTTCCCGCCCATCTAAGAGAGGAAGGCCAATGCCACCATCCAAACTGGAAGTGATAGATGAATCAGTGAGCCCAAAACCCTTATTAGTGGGGCCCAAGGCTCGGGACATCACAGTTCGGAGCGCTTCCTTCTTGACGCGCTGTTCTCTATACCGTTCTGCGGAGAAGGACGGACATTGGTCGTTTTCTATATGACACATGTATGCATGGGCACGCCTGAACTTGGCATGGCAGAAGTGGCAGACCATTTCCTGGTTGGTTCTATGGAACTGTTTAACGTCAGAGACTGTGATAAATACCTGGAAGTGCAGAAGATAAATAACACGTAACAAGAGTGAAAATGCAAGAGAGCAACGCCGATGAAGCAAATTTGATGCATAACAGAAGCAGAAGACCTCATACCTGGGCGAAATGTGTGTTCTTGCCTCCCTCGCTTTTGAACTCCTCTCCGCAGCTGGGGCAGGCAATGTGTTTATTGCTTTCGAGTTTATGGGCGAACAGTTCTCTCTCATCTTCAAAATCTAGATTGCAACGGGCGCAGTATTCATGATCGGTGAATTCGATTTTATGCTTTCGAAGCTCCTTCTCTGTAGCGAAGGTACGGTTGCAATTTTCAAAAGTGCAGACGATTCTGGGAGTGATTTCTGTGGGGGCCATCTTGATAGTGGCTGTGAGAAGACGCCTGTAGGTGGATATAGTTATAACGACGCGGCAGAAGGGAGTGAGGAGAGAAGTTTTGCAGAAGCAGTATAGGATAAAAGAAGGGCCAGGAAGAAGCTTGTACGGTCCTTTGTATCTTATTCTCGTCAAAGTCAGTAAAGTGAAAAACGAAGAGAGAGTCAACAAAGGGTTCTCAGAAGGTCAGTGAATGTTCTGATGAGTAATGCGAGAGAGTCTTCTACATCTCAACCTCATTGCACCTGGATGTAGTTAATATATATATATATATATAACTAGTATTAAAAATTACTATTGAGCAAGACTTTGGTTCGAATGTATGTTTGCCCAGCCATTGTATTCTTGGTTTGATCAAGGATAATAACAAGGCATTGCTTTTTCATTCAGCGACTACGCCTTCGCATTGCTATCATGTAGGGCCAACTGTGCTATATGGCCATCGGCCAAAAGCCCAGGTTCAAGAAATGCCAATGAATAGAGCCTTGACATAGTAGATACATCAACATCAACATTTCTTTAATATTGCAGACATATGTTTACCCCTTTCCCTTTCCACACGCTCAGAATCGTGAATATGGAAGCCTGTTGGAATTAATCAGCCCAAAATGCTCAGTTCAATGTTTCCAATTGATTGAAAGGGCACCGATCCCAATGGATAAAATAGAAAAGAATAGAATAGAGAATAGCATAGAATCACACGTACCATTTCCCCCTCCACGTCACAACCGCCCAATTATTCCCATCCTTATCCGTCTCCTTCTCAACCGTAGTCGAGAAGGAAATCGCACTCATAATCCCGTCTCCAAATTTCTCATTCATCACCGCCTTATACGCGTAGCCATAGTTCTGCACAATCTCATACAGACGGTAAATCAGCGGGTCCTTCGGGGGGAAGGAGACGGACTTTCCCCGGTCTGGGAATCCGCTCAGAAGAGACTCCAGATGAGCATGGTCAATTTCAAGGACCTGAGCCAATTTGGCAATATCCTCCTCGGAAGCTTTTGCTTGTCCATAGAAGATGGCTGCGGTGGCTACCTCATTCCGGCCAATGGCTGCTGCTATGCTCTCGAAAGAGAGCTTCTTGTCGGCTTTGGCCTTGAAGAGAACCTCGGATGAGGTGGGGAGGTTAGCGTGTTCGGAGATCTGGGAGGCATAGGTTAATTATCTGTTCACTGGCGATCTACGAAGGATGGTGGAGTGGTTGTGAAGGTATCATACGTCAAGGGTCGCGAGGTTGAGGTTGGACATGGTGTATGCTACCCTGCTTGGAGTTACTGATTGTGCGGGGCCTGCTGTAGGAATGTTGTATTTTGTCAAATTGGCTCTCGGGATTATTACGTTCCTGGTCTCTCAACAATGCAAATCAAAGAAGAGGAGCGCTGGAATAAATAGAATCGAGATCAGATATATGCCTAAGAAGTTTGTAACAAATATGCGGCGAAAATGACGGGAAACCTGTTTTCCCCAACTTATTTGAAGGCGCGGAGGTTGCTTGGTGATGAGGGGTAGCGAGTGAGGGGTTGCAAGGACTGTGGAAGTAAAGGGTTCGGACGCAAAACCTGGGTTACATTTTTATATGCGTGTAGTATATCGATGGCAGTTTAATATTGGTACTAAACTCTAATTTATAAAATCAAGGCCTTACGATAACATATACTCTGTTCCCATGCATCGAATTCAAGCCATTTGGAGCTCAGCCGGTGCCGGCGCCATGACGTCATCTGGCTTCGAACTGGCAACGCTATTTTTGGTCCTAAACTTGCAGATCACGGCTCGACATCTGCCTGTTTTCATCAATCAACAACTTCAACACACCGGAATGGCTAACTATGCCATACCATACTTATTTATTTGCCACAGATCTTGTCCAGAGATACTTTTCCCATCCTCACTTAACAGATGCGTCAGTGTTTAAGGCTTTCATCCGGACCGCCAGTGGGATCAATCTCAAAGATCCACTGAGCCCGCAAGAATTCCAGCTTGCAAAGGTTAATAAGACCTCGTATGTCCTGAAGAGATTCGAAAATCATGAATATTTCAAGCCTAGGAAACGCGCCTTGAGCACCGGCATCCTCTAATATAACTCTCAAAGAAGATAAAACATAAAAGAGTAAAAACACGCGACAAATGCCAAATGCAGCCTAACGTGCGAGCTCTCTATAATCAACATCATATGTTTGGTCCCAGACCTCGCCCTGCTTTTCCTCATAACCTTTCAAGTAATCTGACTGTATTCTCCCTGCCATACCGCGGAGAGAGCCCTTCCGCGCGTCAATGACCGGGCTCATCCATTCTGTCTCTCCATTCCTTTGAGCCGTGCGGATCGGGAAAGACGCCGCGCTTAACCCCGTCGGCCGGCTATTTCCATAGATATTCTCCCATTGTCCCGGTGGTACGACATATGTCTCGTGATATATGGAGACATGGGGGCAGTCCTTCACAACGCTTGACCAATATTTCACTGCTTGAATGTGGAACGGCCCGTGAGCGTATTTGTGCAGGGACTCGAAATCCCGGAAATACATCACAGTCATAACCTCATTTGCCGCTGAGTCTTCGGCACTGGTCCAGGTCGCTGAACCCAGGTACCCCGAATGCTCAGCGGTCTCTTTGAGCTCCCTTACCATTCTAAAGAAGTATTTGGCTAATTTGAGATATACCGGATCGAAAACTCCAAAGGGGGTGACTGGATTTCGTTCCTAACATAAATACAACGAGCGGCCGTTCGGCAAAAGTCGATCCAAAGGATCCGTCTGGACGAGGCATTTAGGCAGTGAATTTGGTGAGGAGTACATCTGAGAGGTAGCGGTTCTTCGTCCAGCCGAAGGCCATGAGAAGGTTGTCACCGATCCGATAAGCAATGACCACTGTGGCTGGCAGGAGGTTAAGATAGCCTAGCAGGGCGACGGCCACACCCTGCAACAACCCGCCGACCAGAAGCCATGTGCTCATGGTAAAATTATCGCGCATTATGTTGTTCTTGATGTTTTTCCTGACGGCTTTTGCATTGTGGTTGTACGACGGCACTTTTTGTGGTGAGGAAAGTGGACGAAATGATTTTTCGGCCATCGTGATGTAGACTTGGTCGGAGGAATTGGTTAGTTCTTCAAATAAGGAGTATAAAACAAAAAACACAAGGATTCCTGTGTTGCTTCACACTCGGGAAAAAGGGGGAAGGGGGGGATGAATGACGACTTTATAGTCTTCAGATAGGGAGCCTGCACCCAGAGGATATCCAAGCATGTCAGCCCCCTCCCTGATACCAAGCAAGAGCAAACCACCACATTATTAGCAACGGAAAGAAATGAATAGATTCCTGTATTCCTCCGACGGGCAGTAATATTTAGGCGTCAACCCGAGGATTTATTGTATGTTGCGGAGAGAAAGATACATTCATTTTAAAGCTCTCGGAAAATTTTACGCTGCGTAAGCAATTAGTTATGGACATGGATTCCGTTTTGTTTTAACCTTACTAAGGTTAGCCCGAAACGGACTGGCGAGCCAGAGACATAACTATTCATCGCTGATATTTTTCGGTCCTAACCATTATCGTGATTAAGTTAACTATAATTATTCTTTTAATTTTTTTTTTTTTTTTTTTTTTTTTTTTTTTTTTTTTTTTTTTTTTTTGGTTGTAGATGTAAATAGATAATTTACTTCTATTGAAGGACATTCGGAACTTACCTATAAAATAAGTTCTAATATCAATAGGATTCCAGCTCAGAATAATTATATATATGTGTGTGTGGATATGTCAAAGGGTAACCAGGAAGTCATGTCACCTCACAAGCTGACTATGCTCGGGCAACCGAAATCTTGAATACTATTTCACAATTTGCAAAAGAATATATCCATGGCTTTCAGCCCTATGTGACCTTTCATTCATATACTCTCCATGGACTTCTTTTGCATGAGTGCGTGGACGCTAATCGCCTCAACTTGCAGGGGTTATTCCTGACAAAATCGATCCCAAGGGTGTTCCAGACGCTGATTAAAATACGCCGAGAAGGTCGCAATAATACGGACTGTTAAAGGTTAGTAAAATCTACTTGGTGCTTGTCAACTAGGGGTGAATAGACAGTTAAACCGACCGGAGTTTCCTTTGCAAGACTGTATAGCAATATCCGCCTTACTAACTACTCTACTCCGTATACGGAGTTGGCGAGGGAATATCAACTCGCTCCTTTGACAAGCCCCTGCATCTGGGAAACAAACAGGGGTAAGGGGAACCTTATCACATCAAGAAAACATGGATGCTAAAGTAAGCACGCCGCCACCGGCTGGAGGCCAACGTCAGCTCCTATACTTAGTAGCAGTGCACTGATCCTAGGATAGTGTCCCGCCATTAGCAACGTCGGGCACTAACAAACGGTGCCTGCATTGGCACGCGCGTGCTGTTGAAGTCGGCTGAGCACACCCTTCAATGTCGACTCCAAAGTTATGATCCAGGAGGGTCAGGGGCCTTTGTGTGTCCAGCCGCATCCGTGGAGCGGGAAGCCATGGTGAGCACGTCGCTAAAACAATCCCTTTATCAACCTGTAGCATAGCAATGGTTTGCGCGGAACTGCACCGGCAGTTGAGTTCAACGTTGGGCTTGGCGTGAAATGACGGCATTAAAGAAGCGCGGAATTCCATATCCATGAAGCGGTGTAAGCTGCACGTTCGGGAATCAGGAAGGATATGGCGTTGCATTCGTTGAAACAACTGGTAGTACTTGCCCGTATAGTTAGTCGAAAGGAAATATGTAATACACGAGCGTCCATATCGCTACCTGTAGAATCATTTGCGGCCAATATCAAGAATATCAAGTGGGGACAAGCTGTCGTCATGCGATGTGTTCCCGGTGTCCCACCCTGGCGGCAAATTGAAAATAGCGCATCAGCTACACTTCGTAATATCTCCCTCGTGTCGACGTATTCATAAGAATACATCACTACAACCATTCCTAATTTATTTTGTCTCACTGGTAGCAGCAACGTCCCCATCAACAGCAGCCGCACTGTTAAAGCCACCATCAACCCCATCAACTACCTCCCCCCTCTTTCCCTGACACATAATCTCCCCCAGAAATTCCACCAAAGTCTCTCCCTCCCTCTTCGCGCCAACCTCATCCTCTCCGCCCCTCCCATCCTCTCTCCCGATCCTATCCTGAACCCACACCTCCAACCGCCTCAACCCCCTAACCGTCAGTAGCGGCTTCAACCACTTGGCCCCGGTCGACCGATCCAAATACTGCCCCTCGTAATTCATACAAAACCCCAGCTCCACCAAGCCATCCATCTTACTCCTAACAATCTCCCAAAACTCGCCCCACGGCTCATCCCACAACGTATATTGTTCGTACGAAGCGTAACCAGCTACACCACGGCGTACCGGCGCCATTGTCAAGCACGACAAGCCAACTCAGGTGCTCCGCAGCCGCTTGACGAGCGCCAAATTACGGGTGGATACCATGCACGCAAAGAGGAGACATGTCTTTAGCTCTGAAGCTTCGAAGGTTAGTTCGCCGTAGAGCACTGCAGCTGCCTCATTGTATAGCTGTTTGTTGGTGTATAGGATGGCGGTCGGTAAGTGGGCAAGGATTGAGCGCGGCGTATTGGTAATTATTTTATTCCTGCTATCGCGCTGAAGGGGTTCGGAGAAGGTGTTGCTTAGCGCCTGGATGCAGAGGTCGACTCGGGAGCTGTGGGCGCAACATGCATCGTCCAGGTGGGGGGTTTGCTGGCGGCAGCGGAGTAGGTATAGAGTTTCCCTGACATGGAAGAGGTGTAGGATAAGTCGCAGCTAAAGAGAGCGTAGTAGATTTGGTTGCGGATCTCAGGCGGAAGGGACAAAAGGGAAAGGGTGATTGATCATTGGTTTTGCGGCCGTCAAGGCTGATTGAGTGTCATTTTTGGCGTTTGGTAAGTATGGAGAGCTTGCGAGAGGAGAAGTTCTCGATGAAACTGCGCATTCATTGTTCGGCTCCATGGAGTGGATTTCGAGGTGTTTAGCTGCGGGCGCATTTCTACAGCGTAGTTCTCGCCCCAAGATGTGTATGGGGATTGATGTCGTCGGGAGCAAGCGCCAGGATATGCTGATCTGCCAAGTATAACTATCACGGACCAGGGGGAAGCTTCGCATCAACGTGGTTTCAGTTTCCCCCACACAGAGCAATCCGTCGCCAATTTTTCCCGTCAAATAATGCAGAGATGGTCAGACCCTGACCAGCCACTTTTTTGCTGGGCTCCTGGTGACTTTCGCACTTATTGACCTCGACGCGATACAGTGGAGGCTTCAAAATTGTTCTAAACAATTATTTGACAGATCCCGATCACGGATTCGGTGGTATTTCCATGGTATTTCTGCAGTGGCCGAAAAATCCCCAACGTTTGCGGTTGCTGCCTAAGGAATGAACATGCATCAGTATGAGGGGCCAAGATCGCTCTCTACTTTCTCCCTTCGCTGCTAAGAAGCCCACAGCCCTCTGTAGTGAGGCACGTCTCTAGCGCCAGCCCACGCTTCAGCCCGATGTGGCCCGAATCCCAGTGCAGCTGAACATCACAGCTGGGTTCCTCGGTGTCATCTTGTTCGACTGTGTAACATAACTAGAGGTTATGCAGCAAACTTATGCAGCAGGCTCTAAGAGAAGAGCTGTTGTGACTGGTCCGCGGAAGAAGCGAACCACGATCCTGGGTTTGCCTGAGTGGACACTGACGCCACGATAGCTGTGGCTGAGCAAGCCACAACGAGATCAATTCCCCCACTTCGCGTGTTCCAGGACCAACCCCAGGACCCGGGGAGGGGAACAACATCCTTCATATAAAGACAGCACTCTCCTGCTCGTTTCCTGGGTTGGGTTCGAAGCGGTGTAGATATGCGATAGACATTCACTCAGTTTGCTATTGCTAATGTTAACCCCCGAATAAAAGGGTATTTCAAGCCGCGAAACCGAGCATCCTGTTTGAGCCCCATTCCCCGCACTAATTCGCAGTCAGCCGAAACTCGCCCTCAATGTCCGGAAAAGAAGACCCTTTGGCCTACGGGTATTATGGCGGACAAGGAGAGTCTGAAAGAGGTTCTGGCGATGGCAGGGGGGGAGGAGGAGGGGGGGGGGAGAGGAGCCTCCTAGGAGGCACCCTCAACAAGTTCCGTGACAAGGTCAAGACTTACGCCGGTGGACCAGGTTCTCAACAACCATACCAACAGTCCCATTATGATACTCATAACGTCCAACAGGTGAGAGACTCGGAGAGAATACAGTGGAATCCCTACTTTTCACATACTGGTATATTGGCGATGGGGGTTTTTTATATTCCGCTAACAAGGTTTCAGGGACAATCCGGCTCCCATGGTTATGGACAACCATACCCACCACAGCCTCCACAACCATATGCTGCTGCCCCTGGCCAACAGCCATATAATGAACCTCCCCATGGCCAGAACCCCCCTTATCATGAAAATAAGCCATCCACATCCAAACCCGATATGGTATCGGGGCTACTTGGCAAGATTCAAGGAATTGGCTCCGGTGTAGCACAGAAAATTGGTTCTACCCTTGACCCTCAAGCGTACGCCCAGTATGGCCCGCCACCAACAAGCTCACAAAATCGATTTGGAAGTTTTGCACCCCCTAGAGATCACTGTGATGCCAAGTGGTATATTGATGGCTGTGATTATATGTATGCGGTGTCCAGGGCCTTGGAAAATGCAAAGGAGTCTATTTGGATCCTTGACTGTAAGTGACCCCTTCAAACAACGGTTGCTTTTTTGACAACTAATTATTTTTCATTTAGGGTGGTTATCCCCGGAACTATATTTGAGGCGCCCACCTTCCAAAAACGAGCAGTACCGACTCGATCGAATGGTCCACGCTGCTGCTCAACGCGGGGTTCGTGTCAACGTAATTGTGTATAAAGAAGTGACCCAAGCAATGACTTGTATGTATTTAAACTGCAACCCACGGGTCAACATTTCCCCGTAATACCTATCAAAATGTGAGTGATACGTTATTGATTACCGCGTGATAGTGTCGTCCTCTCATACCAAGCATCACCTTCAGAACCTTCATCCAAACATTGCTGTGTTCCGGCACCCAGATCATCTTCCTGATCGGCAGACTATCCATTCTTCCGTTGTAGATTCTTTCAAAAACTTAACCCTCAATGCGGCTGGCGTTTCTAAGCTTTCCGCTGATGCCCTGAAAGGTTTATACGGAATGAGTGGCGATGTTGTCCTTTACTGGGCTCACCACGAAAAGCTTTGCCTCATTGACGGAAAGACTGCCTTCTTGGGTGGCCTTGATTTATGTTACGGACGCTGGGATACGAATCAACATTCTCTTTCTGATGTTCATCCTAACGATATCAGAGAGACCGTTTTCCCTGGCCAGGACTATAACAATGCTCGTGTGTTGGATTTCGACGATGTGCTACATTGGCAGAATAACAAGCTTGATCGCAAGAGCAACTCTCGTATGGGATGGGCTGATATTTCAGTTAGTTTGCATGGACCTGCCGTTGAAGACCTTCGAAGGCACTTCGTTGAGCGATGGAACTTCATATATGACGAAAAGTATAACGTTCGTCAAGATAGCAGATACTCGAGGTTGGTACTCTATGAAAAACCGCTATCAGCTGCTAGCATTACGGGATCGCACGGACAATCACAGCAACAGCATCATGGACACCAGCCGCCTCCTCCAGCACACAACCAGCAGTACCACCCTCTTCCCCCAACTGGGCCTCCTCCGACTCAAGCGCACCATGGCAGTAGCAATCAGCCAGGACAGCCTGGGTGGGGCGCTTCAACACAGCAATCGCAGTCCCAGACGCCGTATTCCCAGGCGCCGTATTTCCCACCGCCGCCAAATCAGGCTGGGCAACATTCGCAGACTCGTGGACCTGAACCATACTATGAGCATGGTTATCAGCAACAGTTCCAACCGGGTTCTCATCAACAACCCGGGCAGGATCGCAGTCTGACCTCAGAACTTCGTGGTTTGAAACATGACCTTGGCAATTTTGGCAGCGTCCTTCGAGGTCAACTTGCTGGACAAGTGCACCAATATCAGGATCGATATTTCTCAGGCACACCTGGTAAGACAGGGAGGCCAACGGCGAATATGTCTTGTCAAATTATTCGCTCCTCCGCCAAATGGAGCCATGGAACCCCAACAGAGCACTCAATTATGGATGCATATGCGGCTATTATTCGCGACAGCGAGCATTTCGTATATATCGAAAACCAGTTCTTCATCACAGCGACCGGTGATGCCCAGAAACCTATCGAAAACAAGGTTGGTGCCGCGATTGTGGAGCGCATTCTTCGCGCCGCGAGAGCAGGGCAGAAGTACAAGATGATTGTTGTGATCCCAGCCGTGCCTTGCTTTGCGGGAGAGCTCCGTGATGATGTCGCCCTCGGCATTCGCGCAATTATGGAATTCCAGTACACTTCTATCAACCGTGGGGGCCATAGTATCATGGAGCTGATTTCCAAAGAAGGATACAATCCGATGGACTATATCCGCTTCTATAACTTACGCAATTATGACAGAATCAACACAAGTGCAGAAATGAGGAAGGCTGAGCAGAAGAGTGGTGTTGACTACCAGGATGCCCAAAAGCAGCATGATGACAAAGTTACTGCAAGTACGACCAGTGCGTTCGACACCACTGCGGCGTACCAACCATACCAAAAGGCTGCACAACAAGTTTCCCACCCGACTGGATCTGGCCGTTGGAATAGCGTGAGCGAATGTTATATGCTTGGTGGCGAGGATATACGAAAGGTTCCGTGGGAACATCCCGGCGATGTTTCTGAAATCGACGCATTTGTCAGCGAGGAACTCTATGTTCATTCAAAGGTTTGTTCCTATATTTTCTCAATCTGTGATCTATGATATTCTAATGATTGTGTGCAGGTCTTGATTGCCGACGACAGAACGGTCATCTGCGGAAGCGCCAATCTCAATGACCGTTCCCAGCTGGGGGATCATGATTCGGAGATTGCCGTCATCATCCAGGACCCCACACCGGTGGAGTCATCAATGGACGGGAAACCATACCTCGTGAGCAAATTTGCAACTACCCTCCGACGGCAACTCTGCCGAAAACACTTGGGCTTGATTCCGGTCCAAGATTACCAGCGGCCTACCGCCAATTCTGAGCCTGTGGGCGTGCCCAATGTTTACGATATGAACTCGGCGGAAAATCAAATCGTTACCGACCCTCTGTCAGACACATTCCAAAGCCTTTGGAATTCTCGCGCAAAACAGAATACCGAGGTCTACCGTAAAGTCTTCCATGCCGTTCCCGATGATACAGTTCGAAACTGGAATGATTACAAGGAGTTCTTCGAGTACTACTTCCGTAGTCCCGTTGCTGAGGAGAAAAAGAAAAAGGAAGGGGAGATACGTGAAGTCAAACCATACTTGATGGGCCATGTCATTCGCGAAAATTTCCCAGGAGGGGTACAAGAGGTCAAAGAAGAATTGAGTAAGGTCAAGGGAACGCTCGTGGAGATGCCCCTGATGTTCTTGATTGAAGAAGACATCGCGAAGGAAGGGATCGCATTCAATAGCCTCACGGCGACGCTCTACACTTGAAGTCCTTCCCCCTTCGTTTCAAGTTGATGTGTGATTGGCTAGGGGTTTTTTTCTTTTTTTTTTTCTGCAAGTTCGTTTTAATTGGCTCTCCATTTTTGATGTGATGTATTCATGAAATATCTGCTCAAATCCCTATCCTCTAACACGACTACTACTGATAGCACCTTCCACCAGCCCGGCGCGCGTCAGCGTTGGCCAAGTTTTCGGGTCACAACGTACGGGCTTTCCCATTATCGCTGGTTTAGATACGGGCTAATTCGCCCCGGATGTCAGAGCCGCCTGATGTACGATGTCCTTTTTTCCAAAATTTTGCTACGATAGTCAAACTTTTCACCTTGGTCTTATCCTACTACTTCTAAGTTATTGATGATAGGAAATGCAAATTGAAAGAATTACCTCGTCTTCTCTAGAGCAACCCGAAGCAGTGCTACATAGCCTTTGCCTCCACATTTAGCTGAAGCAAGCTAAGGCCAGATGGGGCCTTCAGAGCTATCCATGCCCATCTACATACAGAGTACAGTACATATTATAAGGCTCTCACACCCTATCCAGTTCCCATATTCCTCCGCAGAGATCTCCCCACAAACGTAGATCCAGTGTTATTTAACCACATGCAAAAATGCCGGGTTCATCAAGATTGGCATCCTATGGATAGCTTAGCTAGCCTAACCGCTTTCAATAATGTCATATGTACCTTGTGTGGCCTGTAACTGGGGAAAGTCCAGATTCACCGGGGTATGTCAAAGTGGAGCCCGAGGTCCCATTCCGAACGTACGTACAATTTAAGGGAATGTTGGGTCAAAAATGATACTAAATGTATTAAGTAGTAGGTTTATATTGTTCAGTAAAAGAACAATACTAAGCTTGTGTATGTTACTCTAAAACGAGCTCTGTGATTTGCTGGTTGGCTGAAACTTGGCGGCTGTGGTTGCATTTAGTTTAGCGTGGGGCTCTGACTAAGACATTTCTAGATTAGTCGCTTGCAAATGAACCAAAGGCCGGGAAATTCAATTTCAACGACACAGTTAAACATTAAACATTCCAAGCACAACAAACACCTCTTCGAACGTGGGAATCTAGCAGACAGGCAATCGATACCCGTTTCTTGGAGCAGGTGGAGATTTGCGCAGATGTTGGGGCCGAACAACAACCGGAATTTATCGAGAGCGATGAACAATGAAAATGTTATTCCCCCCGCATCACCTAGCATTACGATCCGTGCTCAGTGGACCCTAAGAGCCGGGATAGTGTTTGTGGAGAGACTCAGCGGTTTATGGGAGGGATCGGGAAATACAAATCGAGGAGTTGGATACGACTGGGTTGAGATGCCCGGGACCAAGCATCGTGTATACGGTTGACCACCCTTCACTCCCCCGGATGTAGAAACCTGAAGAAGGAATGATACCAAATGCTGGAAGCTACTGGGCCCGCACAACACGCAATCAATGTGTCTTGATCTGCGGCGCTGCCACTTCCTACATACGGGAATATGTCTGGAAGGCCCCAGCTGGGATTCCTGCATAAACAGCTCCTGGTTTGTTGCGGCCACGGGGGGTGTTTTTTGATGGGGAGGTTTTCTCCCTATGCCTGTTTTCTCTTTTTCCTTGATTTTTTTTGCTGTTAAGTTCTATGCTGCATCCGTCGTCTGTGCATGTATCACATGGTATGATCCACGGTTTTGCGCCCGGACCAGATGGATAACGGGCTGTCACAGAACCCTCGTGTTAAGGTGAGTGAGAGGAGCTAACAGCCCATGCGAGGTGGCGCATGTGGTCGTGATGGGCTTAGCTCTGCTTTTTGCTTCGATCGACATGTTTCAGCATCTGGCTGGCACGTTATATGGACGTCGGCTCTCTGCGCTTTGAAAAGGCTATGAAACCGCGAGCATCCTGCATTTCTAACCCGAAGCCAACCCGCACACGCCGTACTCTGCGAAAGCGTCGACCGTGTGATTACATGAGGATGCAATCTTCGGTTTGGGTGCAATACCTTCTAAATAAACTGGTCTGTATATGACCTGTTATCTACCGGCAAAAGCATCTCCAGTAAAGCCAGGATCCAGTGGGTAGAGTACATGCCACGTTTCACCATATTCTGTTTACTTTTTCAAAATTGCCTGGCTAGAGCTTTGTCATTAATGTAGTTCCAGTGGGGATATCACAACTTTCAGTTTTCTCTGCGCATGTTTATGAGCTTTCTTGGGCGAGCATGTCAAACCCCTGTGTCGAACGCCTTTGAAGCTGGCCTCGACGCACCACTAAATTCCGCAAACAGTCTACAACTTTTCAATATGATACATTCTTTATCGCTTATACTTCTTCCTGCTCCATAGATTCACTTTCAGTTTCTTTAAAGTTCATTCCTACCCCCCTTTCAGTCTCCACTCTCTTTTTCCGCTTTGATAAAGAACAATACTAAGACAAACAATACTAAGAACTTACGCAGGAACACCACAACTTCTCGGGCATACAGTCTAATTCCCCCCATGGGTCCCCCGTCATTCCCACTCCACTGGCGGCTTTCCACTCTGGGGAATGTATCAAATTATTGCATAGTGTTCCGCCATACGGGGTTCAAGGCGTCTAGTTGCGTGCTGTCGTGGTAGCTATTCTCCTACGACGCATAATGCCATGACTAAAGCCACGTGCAAGTGACTGAAGGTATTACAACAAACAATATAACCAATCCACCGGAGTATTTACAGTTTCAGTATTCTACTTTCCTTTGAACAGATCCCCGAATTGTACTGGGTATCCCCCTTGCAATCGCTGCCTTCACTGTTGCCCTATCTTCAATCTACAAGCTCCGGAATGAATATATAAACCTGCCTTATTTCTCTTTTTCCTCTGCCTTCTGTTTCTCTTTCTTCAAACATCAGTTACCAGAGTTCCAAACAGCGTCCCAATATTTCAACTACCAAATTTCGCAAGAGGATTATCCTTCCCTCGCACTTCCAAACAAACTACCTTCAAACAAAATGTCTCCCAATACTGCCAACATCTCCTCCCCAAAGGTCCCAGAGACCGGTAAGAATTGCTTCCATGTCTACCCTGCTTCCATAACATTACCTAACCGAACCTACCCTTCTAGGCCCGGTCTTCGTCCGCAACAGCGGCGGCCAGTGCATTGTGATGTAGATATTCTACATCACAATATGTGGCATCTGCCACGGGGGAAACATTTTGCAGAGTGCTTCGGCCTCAGTTACATTGATATAGAAAACGACCAATTCTTTTTCCTCGCGCCGTGGATGCAGGGTTCCTTCAGCTGTTCTTTTTGAGTTATGCCTGTTACTTGCATGGTTGGGATTGCCTGTGCGAAGTTATCGATGAAGAATCCAAGTTCACACTCAGAATTGAAAGGCGGCTAGGGGAATGAGAACTACCAAGGAGGTTATTCGCTATTTCCTTCCGACTGGAACTCTTTCTCGTTACCTCACCTTCAGATTAAAGATACGCAGAAACTATCGAGTCCAACGTAACCCGCCGGCTATCACATTCTAAAACTCAGAAAAGACTACCACCGACGCAACTCTACTTCCGAACGATCTTCGACGACCCCTTTGAGAAACGCAAAGCCCTTTGTATCCCCCTTTGCGACCCTTGCGGGGTTGTTTACGCGAGCATGTATCCTCTATCCTGTCTGATCTTGGCTTACAGGCTCTGTGAAATGTTGTTCCCCCCCATTTTCCTTCTCTTGTTATTTTCCTTTTCATATTCGTGATGCGAAAGTGATCGTAACCACCACCCATCCTTTTCTGTTGTTATTGTTATTCTCCTTCAATTTTTTTGTCAACCCCGACGGGAATGTTGTATTCGTACTTACATTGGATATGTACTGCTTCCTGGGCCTACTTGCATTCCTTGTTTGTCCCGAATCACTGTTACTTTTCCCAAGGCCCACGCTCCTCGGCTTTGGTTATGCAGTCTGGCTGAACATTCGGAAACATGAGGAGAGGGACCAGAAAGGAAAGAGGAATAGGGTGGCATCATGGTAATGCATGTATGAGTTGTTGTTGTTGTTTGGGGGGGGGAGAGGGGAGGGGGGGAATGTTTAAAAGAGAAGAGAAAAAGAAATGAGACGTGATTTTTTTCGCCTCTCTCTCCTATCCAACCCGGCCGTCCTCGCTCATAAATGCAAGTACACTTATCGATGATTGTCTCCCCGTTTCTCTTCAACATTCTCGTTTCGCATTGTTGTTTACCCATACCCAATCCCAGTTTTTATGACATGATGTTCCTTGCCAAGTTTCTTACCCTCATTGTGCCATATCACGACGCTCTTTTTCGTTTGTCCCCCTATTATCTTCGGATTGTTGTTATTATTTTGCCTTCTTACATAGGGGATAAGCTGGGTATGTGGATGGGCCAGTGTGGAATTCAAGGCTCCATGTTTTATGTACTGTGCTGTGCTGTGCTGTGCACAAATGACTTCAAATGACATGTACATGTGATACATAAACAACCATCTACTACCTACCCCACTGGCGGGTGTTGTTTAACTCCTTTACTCATTGAATTTTTGTATTTTTAGTAAGCAATGAGTGGAATTAATTGAGTTAGTAGATGCAATATTACATTAAATTGGGCGGGGAAGCTTCATTATCTTTTTTCTCTTGCTTTCTTCCTTCCTTTTCACATTTCTTTGTTCCCTTGCTCATTGTATAGTACAAGGGTATTTTGGGGGTCATAAACGCAATACAAAGACGCAGAGAGGAGAATGACAGTAATGATAATAATAATAACGGTAAAAGTTTGTACATGGTGGTATAGGAAGTGTTTAATCCAAAATGTATCAAAAAACAGAATTAACCTCAATCGCAGGGCGTCTTATGGTGTATATGGTGGAGGCTTCTCATCGTCAATGCCTAAACGTCTAATATCGGGAAGATCTTGTAGCGTAAACTCGCCGTCCTCATCGGGGTCGAGTAAGCTTTCGGCGGCACTTGAGTAGCGCTCTGTGGACGGCGAGCTGGGGTAAGTTTCGGTGCTGATATATGGTTGATCCTTTGAAAGGGGTGGTGACGTTTGTTGATCTGGGCTACGTTGCTCATCGTCTGCTGCTGCTGCTGCTGCCGCTGTAGGAAGAAGAGAGTCGAAATGGGGCGGTGGTATTTGGGGTGGGTTGGCAAGCTTAGTTTTTTGGAGTAAGTAGTCGGTTTAGTAACTAACTAATTTGGCAGTGAAAGGAGTAAAATGTAGGGGGTGTAGGATAGAATATGCATTGGGCTCGCGAGATAAGGGAACTACCGATTTCCTCACTTACCATATCGTCGTCTTGGAGACGACGTCTACTGTCACTAGCTTCACCCGATATTATCTCGGGCAGCGCGTTATCTCCCTGAGCACAACGACCAGCAGCAACGGAAGCAGAAACAGGATCCTCAATACCTCTGGCTGGCCCCGTCATTACCCCTATCCCCACCCCTATCCCCACCCCTATCCCTAACCCCTTGATCCCTCTAACCCTCTCCCGCTCCTGCTCCCGCTCCCGCGCCTCAATCTCCGCAAAATTCCTCGCCTTGACAATCACCTCCTCCCCCTCATTCACCTTCCCAACCAGCTCCCCATCCTCCCAAATCCCATTCCTCAACCACAGCCCGGAAAACTTCGCCTTCGCAATCCGGCATCCGTCGATATCGCAATCATTCAAACACGCATCCTTAACCGTACTCTGGGAGATTTTTACGTTGTTGAGTCTGCTCCGGCTAATCGTGCACGGTAATGGGCCGACGATGGAGTCGCGGATGTCGCCTTTGTTGACTTCGGTTTTGGTAGTATTAGTAACGGGATTTGGTATGGTGCTATTATTATTATTATTAATATTAATATTATTAATATTATGGTTGCCGTTGTCGTTGTTGTTATTGCTGTTATCGTCCGACGTGCACAGGAATTGCGCGTTTTTCAGCTTGCTCTGAGAAATGCGCCCTGTGCCTAGTATTGTTGAGCCGCGCACTTGCGAACCCGAAACGTACTCTGCGTTCGACGTGGTGGTCCTCCGCATGCTGCAGCAGTCGATGTTGCTGCCCGAGATGGTGCAGTGGGATACATGGCTCTGCGAGATGGTGCTCATGCCATTCCCGCCGCTGCCCCCACGGCTGCTGCCTTCGTTAATATTGCTACTACCTGGATCTGTGGTTGATTTATTAGATTTTACAGTCGAGTGTCTGATGAATGTGTGTCGGATTGCTGTTGCGGGGCTTAGGCTGTCTAAGGTGATGCCGTAGAGGTGGGAGTGGCTGATGACAGGGTGATATGTGGCGCTGTTTGTGGGGAGTACGGTAACGGAGGTGAGAGAGCTGTGTTTTGCTGTAGAGATTTTGTGAGATCGACTGGATTTCATGGTTTTGATATGCTTTGGAGGGGGGGGGGGGAGATGGGTAAAGGTTTCGCTGGGAGGGAGGAAGAAATGGGGTGTTATCGCATCAATGTGATGGGTTGAGTTGAGGAATTGACGACCGACTGCAGCACACTGAAGTTGCGCCGCTGTGGTGTGGTGTGGGGAGCTCGAGGAACAAAGTGATTGCGCTGGGATGAGATTGAGGGTCTAAATTATATATCCAAATGGCGATAGTTGTCCGACAGCAAAACACAGCAGAATGACCACTATGCCCTATGGTGGTTGATTATCATGAAATTTGTTTCTTGAGAAAAATGAACCGACTTTCACTGCCACACTCTAACTATGCCGTCATGTCATGCAATGCCGTAACTGGGGATGGATTCTCGGTAAGGCTGCTTTACGAGCCTGCCAAGGATGTTTGAGTCACCAAACCGCCGAAGAGCTGTGTCTTATTGGCAGTCACATACAAGGTTTGAACAGTGCAAGATTTGGGTTCGCAGTTGAACATCTGGGAAACCCGAAAGGGAAATCACCCCGCAACAATGTATTGGATAACTACCTAGCACGGAGCATGCCGAGTATGATGCGTTGACTGCGATGACTGAGGAACGGAAAGTCGGGGTCACCAGCGTAACTAGTTACTCGGCTCGGCTCCGGGTTTAAATAATACGACGCGGAGGAACCATAGAAAAAGCCGAGCTGAAGACATGACCGATCTGTCGAAACCGAACTAATAATATAACAAACTCTCTCTACCTAACGGGGAAATAACTAACACATAGCTAGAACAGAAAACTAAAATATAAATTCGACACAAAAATATCATATCATACCGCATTCGTTTCCAGTTAGCCAGCTCCTGTCGCATATCTCATATCTGAACCAAAATGAAAACTGTACTCGCAACGCACACTTATTCATGAAAAACAGATCCCTTCTGGGAGAGATCAATAACGGGCCAAAACGGCTCTTACCAGAATCTTCAAAAAGCATACATCCACTCCACCCTTACTTGGCATCTTTGAAAGCAAACGCAACTCCCCTTTTCACCCTTCACCCTGGCCACCCAACAGCCCTGCCGAACCCTCCTCAATCTCCCCAATAATATGTAACACCAACTCAGCCGCTCCGTGGCCCATCTGTTCTGCCTCATCACCAACCTCCATCTCGACCCGTGCCTTGATCTCCGCGTCTGTCGATATATGCTGCGCGAAGGTCATGAGTGGAACGAGGAAGTTGGATTCGAAAGCAGGGTGGAGTTTTTGTATTTGTAACCGCTCGAAGAGGGCTGGGGACTGGGTGAGGAAATAGTAGAGGTTTAGGATGGAGAGGTAGTAGGGGAGCAGATGTTGAGTAAATGTCATCCAGGTGTTAATGAGGTCTTCGGTTTTGGCGGTCCCGAGGGCCAGCCAGTCGGCCGGGATGGGTTTGTAGATGTGCTGGAAGAGGATGGCGAAATGGTTGGGGTCCGTGAAGATGTTTTCTTTCTGGTCTGGTGGTGCATTTAGCGCGGCTGCTGGAAGGAGTTCATCCTTTAGCCATCCTATTGCTGGTTCTCGGGCATACTGCAAATCTTCGTTCTCGAGGATTTTGCTGATGAGATTAAATCGTGCAGTTGGGTCGGGATTGCTGTGGAATATTGTTGATGGAACACGGGCCATCCGGCTAAAACTACGGAAACCAGGTGCACGGGCACAGGCCGTGAGCTGGATGATGAGTTGGCTAAATTCAGTTTCATTTTGAGGGGCTGAAACTGGGTTACAACTGGCAATCACGGCTAGGGATAAGAGCGAATCGACGAGGGCTTCGGGTTCTTCCATCATGGTTGAATATGGAGATTTGCTTTCTCCAAGGAAATTCAAAAATATGGCGGCAAGATCAGGGAAGACAGGAATGGGTTTTACTGGCTGGCCGGAAGAGAGAAGTTTATCGGCGGCAGACCGAGCTGCCAGCAGCAGTAGACAGCCATGTCTTTGAATGGGGACATCGTTCGGGTGTTTCGGAGTCTCTTCAAAGTCTAGAGGAAGTGGTTGCTGGTCACCAGGCTTCGAAATGATATCCAGCAGTTCCTTTGTTTCTAGGTCAAAATCTCGCGATAGTGCCTGGACACAAGAAATTAGAAATGAATCCGCGAAACGAACAAAGAATATAACTAATGGGAGTGGGACAAAACATACGATAATCTTCCCAACAGTCATATCCCGCTCTTTCAATCGTCCATCCCTTCCGAACTCCTCAATTAAGCTTAACGATGAGTGCATCCGATTCTTCGTATCCAATTTCTCCTGTAATCGAAGTGCCCACTGCATGCCTGCAGGCGCCTCATTAATACAATGCAAGAGATATGTTTTCAAAAGCTCAACAAGCCCAAACTGCATAAGTCTCTTTACCATAACACCTTCCCCGGATGCTGCAGTCCCAGGATGCGATTCAGCCTCAGGATCCGGCGCAGACTCTTGTGTGGTCTGCGGCAACAATGATTCACTTGTAATCCGAGGCGGTAGACGAGGACGCTTCTTGCCAGCTATGTCTCTGAAGAATTCTAGCACTGCCGCTGTTGTTTCCACCGTTGGGAAAGCAGTGTATGCTTCCAGCACGGCTTGGAGGGAGGTTGCAACGAAACGGCTGGGGTACTTTGTTTGGATGCGGGAGTGGAGGACCGAGAGCATGGAAAGAAGGCAGTTGAATTGCAGGATGTGCACTGGGACTTTGGGTGTAGCTACTGACTTATCGTCTACAGCTTCATTGTCGTTCACACTGGGTTTCTCCTCCAGATTAACCTCCCCAATGGTTTCGCTGATTCTCTTTTCGTCCATTTCGTCCTTCGCTTCTTCCTCATCTTCTTCGACGGGCTCCAACTTCATCAATGAATTCGAAACCCGCAAAATAACCTCTCGCGGATTCCCCAGCCTAGCCACATCTTGTAGACATTCCTGAGATGCCGGAATCATAGGAAGAAGCAACTGGACCAAGTCCCAGCCTATATTTATCGTCAGCTTCTCATCCTGGAGCAGATTGTGTAGGATCGGCAGGCGTTCGGGCGTCAATTGGTATTCTAGAATTGTGAGATAGGTCAGGTAGTCTGTTTCGGGAGGGAGAGCCTTGACGAGAGGGTCATCGCGTTCATCAGTTGCCATGATGGCGGTAACTCTGGGATGTGAGAGGTTCTTTCTATACGCGCATCAGTACTCCGTACGATGCAGGAACCTAGGACAGATAAAATGTACGCGTCAGTTTGGCCACCCCCACTAAACCACGGAGTTAACAAAAAACTGGTAGTTGAAGGATGGAGAGGGCGCGAGTACTATAGAGGAGAGGATTGATAAATATAGAATTAACTATGTCCAAGTCAAATAATCAAACGTACTAAATCTCAAAAAAAATTCGTTATTTCTAGAGGTTGATCCCTGGGTTGATTCAAGGTAACTAACTAGCTAACAAAGTGAAACCCAACGTCGGACAAGGGATGACGTAATAACAATGTGTCCGAGCATCGACCATCGTCCTTCCCCGCACCAATCACGCCACGATTTCTTTGTACTCAGTAAGGTAAAGATATATATTCCTCTCTCTAAAATACTGCATAAATACCGCAAGAAGGAAATCAATTGACATATCTCCTCACAATGGCTGACTATTATAAATATCATTATATCTCCCCAATGCCATCCTCGTCAATTCTTCCATCTCCCGACCCAAAAACCTATTCGGATCAAGAGCCTTGAGCACAACCTCATCATCGCCACTAACCTCACCACTCTCATCGTACCGCCGGAGAATTTCCCGCGCAAGAATCGACGCAACACCAGCTGCATGAGATACCCACACAGCAGCGCAGAGCCACAGGTTCTGCACATCCCCCACCTTCCCCGCCAAGGGTAGATTGTCCGGCGTGACCGAGAATATACCATTGAACGGCCTCTTCTTTTCCGTAGCGATCTCCTCGTCAGTGCATCCATCCGTCGTCTGGAACAGCTCGCCGTTTTTCAGACATGTTCTGGCCCCCTCCGCAAGCGCAATTTCGAACGTTTTAGGCCAGCTGCCCAACGCGGAGTTGAAAGGGTCGGTGATTTGAATTGGTGGGTGGTCGTAAGTGCCCATCCCGTCGTTTGTGCCGTGATCGCGCGCGTAAACCGTTCGTTCAGGCCAGCGGACGAATGGATAAGGAGGGCCTTGTCTGGGTGCCCGGGTAGGGGTGAAAGTGTATGGATGCGCGACGGGGGTGATGGGAATGGGCGATTTAGTTATAGGGTTGCCAGACGATGACGCGGATGAGGCGTCATTTAGTAAAAAGCGCGTCCATATTCCCGTCGCGAGAACGATGCGGCTCGTAGAGCAGACATTTAAGGGTCCTTCAGATGTTGAGATCGTTTTGATCGCTCCATGATCTCCCACTTCCAAACCTGTCACACCAGCTTGGACAAAGAAAGCGCCGTTTTCCGCGGCCTTTTGGCGAAAGTATGCCGTAATAATCTTCGGGTTTGCAGTCCCATCAGAGGCAAAATGTAACGCAGCCTTGGTGGTATCCGTCTTGACGAAATCAGGCGCCAGCGCTGCTGCTTTCTCCACGGTAATCATCTCAGATGGTAAACCCGCTGCTAACGCATCGGCACACCGTCGCTTTAACCGTCCCACACCAGGTTCCGTAGCTGCCAACTCCATACCCCCTACGACATCAAACCCATTGGGGACGGTAAGGTATTCCCGCACACTGTCCATTGCCAACTTGGTTTCTATGGCAGAGTCGTTGTACTGTCCCACAAATCCTGGGGCGTAGTTGGTTGAGCCTAACAGGGACCCGAGAGATTTCTCCAAAACCACGATCTTGGGAATCCCATTTTGGGCAGTGGCAGATTTGCTGAGATAGTATGCTAGAGATGAACCGACAATGCCCCCGCCTACGATGAAGATGGAGTTTTCTGTGGTGTTCTTTTGGATGGTGGAAAACGGAGTTGCAGGCATGGCTTAAGATTCAATTGAGGATTCGGTATTGGGAGGAAATGAAGAATCTTCAATAACGTAGCGGATGGTATGTAGTCCCTGCAGAGAGAATTATGCACGATGAAGAATAGATGAGAGAGACCACAG